TTTTAAAAAAACCCCAGAAAAACCTGGTACAGATCTTAAAAATACAATTAGACCTGAATTTGCTTCTTATGTAAAAATGTCACCAGGCGGCCTTCAGTTTTCTTCATTTAAGTCTCTGTGCTTCATAGATTCCTTAGATTTTATTTTATTTTTGCAGGTTCCTTAATTTACAGTTTCAGTGAGACGACAACTGGATATCGAGATATTAAATATAAGAAGCATATTTCAAACTCTTAGCATTGCAACAAAGTCTATAAAATTCAGCGCTACAACGCATCCTCGGGTGTTATGAACAAATATTATATGTACCTTTGTTCCTTTGTTCCTCCCTGATGTTAAAATACCTCCAAACTGCTGACATTGTTGAGATTCTTTAATGAGAGCAATGAGACGTTGAAGTGCAGCAGGAAAACACACAGCACCAGCTGAACAGTGCGAAGCCGGTCGTAGTAAAATGCTGTCACGGAGTATTGGAATGCACGCTGTTGTGTACGAGCATAGGTATCTGGATAAAGTGACAGGCTCCGTACTAATACTGGATGCAAAAGTACTACAGTACTACAGTAACTACAGACGTCCAATATTATCGGCCAACCTATACTTCAACAAGTATGGAGACATAAAAAGTGGCACCAAGTGTATAGTCAAGGAGGAGCAGCCAAAAGTGATAATAATATAACATTTTTATATTGTTTACATCCATTCAGTCCAAGACTGTGATTATCCTCTGGGCAGAAGCTGCCAACAGGTTAATCAAAGGTGTTCCAGAGCTGATGGACCGTGAGTTTGTAATGTTAAAGCCATTGTTTACCTGGATATTGTTGTCAAATTGGGTTGTTTATCATTTGTTTTTTATTATTATTATTATTATTTATTATCTTCCCTCTGCCATGTTCTTCTTTTAAGTACGACACAGGAGATAATAATTTACACAAAGAGTTAATGACATATGAATAAAACAACTTTAGTTGGGAATAAAATCATACGTAACGGTTCCCAAAGTTGGGAAAAGAACATTTTAAAGCAGTGTTTCCCAAACTTTTTTCTGTGGACCCATATTTTAAAAGTCACAAACCTTCGCGACCCAAGTCAATAGACATTATTAGTAAATTCCTGGGAAACATGATGCGAGGCGACCCCCCCGAAAAATCTCTTGTGACCCACCTGAGGGTCGCGACCTAATCTTTGGGCAAAAATGTTTTGTAGAACCCAAAGAACTAGGAATTCTACTAAATATTTCATGTATGTTTATTTTCATTACTATCACGTGCTCTGTTACTACCATCTTTGAGCTATTCTGTTCTACACTGGTATCTGGTACATGCATTAAAAAAGGGGGGAATGAATTACAAGATTCAGCACAAGTAAATAAATAAATAAATAAAACAAAAAAAAACAAATGTCATCCTGTATCTTGTGACCTTCAGCGTTTGTCGATTGCGGTGTTTGTGAGAAGCAACAAATCCTTCTTTTTTCTTCCCACAGTCACTGAGACATTTCTATCTGTGTCGCTCTCCCCGCGGGTTGTTTCCTGCCGGATGGGTCTCCCCGCGGGTTGTTTCCTGCCGGATCGTAGTCTGACAGATGAAATGATCCACCTGGGGGAGAAGGGAGTCCTTGGATTATGCCTGCAGGGAATTTAAATGAGTGGAAAATGCCAAAGGTGCAGGGACTTTAGGGGAAACCTCCCAAAGTATAAAGGAAACATTTTTTTAAAAAGCTTTTTTTAGAAATGGAGATTAGAGGCTGATAAAATATACTGTTTGTCGTCGGTTAGATAACCTTATCGTAATCTTATCTCCGTTTGTGATTCAGTTCGGCTCTGTCTCTGGTCTGCAGTATTGTTCGACTAAAGTACTACATTCCTGTAGGATTAGAGAGCTTGAGAACACGTACATGTGATATGCTGCTCACGGCTAAGAAATATAGATAATCAACACGAAGACCTGCTGGTTCTCACACACACTTCCCAGAACTCTGTCAGGCTGACACACTGGTGCACACGCAGCCACGTAACAATGGTCAGCGTCAGATAAATGGGCAGCCAGATGTGGTCTGACAGGCCATTGAGCCTGCAGCAGCTTTAATGAGGCCTGCAGCCAGCGGGGACTGAGTGCTGGAGCCTCACCAGTATGTTTCCATTACTACTGTACGACCGCAGCAGCTGAAAGTGGTGCGGAAATGACAGGACACACGTGGCCCACGTTGAACCTACAAGCTCGGGCTCTATTATATGGACCTAACATTAACACACAGGCACAACGGAGGACTGTATGTACAAGACCAGAGCAGGAGAGACGAGATGCTAAGAGGAAGTGGGAGCGAAGCGGAGCAAATTGTTGTGGCTAAATAACAAATAGAAGTATTGATTTGAAGATTAACAAGGCAAACAGAAACAGTACTGAAAAGGAGTATCTAATTAAAATACCCAAACGCAGCTTATTCTCATTGTTGCTGAAATCATATGTGAATATAGCGAGCAGTTTAAATCAGCATATCATTATTAGAAAGTTATATATTAAAATAAATATATATATATGATTACATATGTTTTATGTAAGTGCAGAATGACATTCTATATATATATATAATTCCACTGTCTAGTCCATCCAGTTATATCTGCTCAAATACACAGTTGATACATTTATTGTTATTTAGGGAAAAGTTTTGTTGTTGTTTTTTTTCACCTGAAGCTCAAAATAACATCTGAGCATGCTTGAGTGGAGGCTTTTATCATCAGGGTAAAAACCTGACTTGTGTCAGACCTGCGTCACTGAGCTCAGGGCATGAACTAAGTCTAGGAGTGATGTAAAATGACTGAAATGCTACATGGAAAATTTCTCAGTTATAGTTTAAAACAGAACTGAAACAGAAACGTTTATTTTTTAACTGTATGTATGTCTAATGTATGTATTCATTTAAAAACAAAAAAAGGGTTATAGCACCAAGAAAACAGCAGACAACAGGCTGGAGATGTCTCTGGACATTTATCAGAAACTCTGACTTGTCAAATTATTGATCACGACCCATCACAATTAATTCTCAACAGATTAGAATGTAGCAGTCAGACTCCAGATTGCAGACTGTGGTCCATACCATTATTCTCTTACCATTCCTGGAACACACTCTTGGGTGTGGGGTGCTGCTTCAGGGAACAGAGTTTTTCAGAGAACATGTTTAAAAGATCAAAACAAGGGAAGGAGAGCAGGCATGTGTGAGCCAATGGAATGAAGTACTGTGAAGGGAGAGCATTTACATGGAACCATGAAGAGAAGGAATAGTCAAAAGTGATTCCTTTAAGCCTGTGATCTTTTCCACTTTCCACCTTTCCAAATCTCTTTTCTACCGGTTATGACCGTATTTGCTATACTTTTCTACCGGTTATGACCGTATTTGCTGAACAGTAAAGAAAAAAAAAAAGACAAAAAGATACTTGTTTATAAGCTCAAAATGTCAAATATTTTTCCACATATTTTGTTGAACATATAAATTGCGCACACATTAAATAATCCCTTTTTTATTCTCATCAATTTCATGTAGCCGCCGGTGATGAACTGAGTTCCTGCAGTGACCCAGATTCAGCACAGGGCTCATTAGCTTCATGTGAAGAGTAACACAGCGATGGTCGTCATGTAGATGTGGACTTTTCTCAGAATGTCATGCTGTGGTCACCTGCCATTAATTAACAAGTACAAATTTACAGGTAAAGATGAGCAAAGTTACTAGTGCTTTAAAACTTGAAGAGAAACTGAGAGCTGGTAACAGTCTGACGAACAGAACAGTTGAATTTCCTTAATTTAAAGGGATGTACAGACAATTTCTACAGCTCATAATAATCCAACGTCCTAACGCGGGGGTTCCCAAACATTACCATGGCGAAGCCCCTTGAACCGCATTAGCTTTTAAAGAAACATCAACATCAAGAATGTATTTTCTTATTTTTATTTACAATTCAACAATTGACAGATAAGAACATAACAAAAGAAATCAAACCTCTCTCGTGTGAATCTGTCTGAGGTGCGTTCAGGTACCATCAGAAACTTTCAAATCCAACAATTATGGTTGTACGATTCAGGACCAATGCTTATTAAAAATAATAATAATTAATTAAGTAATTTCAGGGGGGGTTGCATTTTATGTTCTTGTCATCCTCCCTATTTCCTTTAGTGGCCCCTGGTGGCTCCCACTTTGAAACCACTGTCCTTATTAATAATTAATAATGGATTAAATTTAGTTGCAAAAACAACCTATAAATAAAATGTTCTCCATTTCTTGTTTACATCACAGCGATGCCAGAAACAGCTTGTCCTTTCTTTTTAGCGGCCGCCGACTCCATGTGTTGAAGGCTAAAATAAATGCTCTTGGACGTAGTGGTTCCTTGTCTTTGTCAAAACCCAGAGTGACATTCCACTCAAGCAGCCACAGAGTGGTGTATAAACAGCAGGGCATTGTGCCATAAAATGGCTTCTTGCCCTTATTTTATTGCTCGCCTGCTGTGCATCGACGGCTCTGACAAAACCATGACAGATGCAGTCGGCTAAGGCGTATTCCTGTTTGACAGTCCATGCTTTCACTGGACCACCGTCACCAGCACTTGGCAGTGAAAAGCAGCCCCAACCTGTGCACAAACTGCGTACACAATACGCACATCAATCCCAGTAAATACACTTTGGATGCGGTATTCAGAAAAGTGAGGCATAAGGTGGCCATAAGGAGCAAATGTTGGAGACATCAGAGGAGACATAAATATGCCATGATCACAGGGAGCCATGCTGTATATCGAGGCTTACAAATGCACATTAATAATTCAGATGCAGTTTGTTCAGTTGCAGGCTGGAGAGTACATCTGGTCTCTGCCGAATGTTCTAGTCTCCCTCTCCAAATAGTCTCTTCGGCTATTTTAAATTCAAAACCCGACTCTGTCACAGGAACAGTCATTAGTAAAACACGAGTATTATCAAATAAACACAATTCTGCATGAGAAAATTAAAAAAGCTCTCCTTTTGCATCTTTTTTTTTTTGTTTTTTTTTTGTTACCATAGACCTTCATTCAGTTGTTAAGTTTCCCACAGGGGAGGTAGCAGTAGCTGGTCCTGCATGAAAAACACCTCCTCAGCCCTTATCCATTAAAGACTGCATTAAAACTGCTGAATGTGTGGACAAGGACGACCACACAATCTCTGCATATGTGGACTAGGTCCAGGTTTTGCAAGCCTCCAGAAATGAATGGGCCATTAGCTGTGGGCTACTTCTTCACCTTGTGCACTGCTACCAAAGTGAAATCTCCAGCAACAAATCCCAAATCACCTTAAGGTATGTCAGCCTCCAGGACTGCCAAGAAACACTCAATCTATCTGGGTGTGTTCCAATTCTACGCTCCCCAAAGATGGCCATCATACTGTATCTGGAGTAGAGTGGGAGACACGGCAGAGGAAACAACAGTATATTCTAAGAGAACTTCTGTAGAAATATCACATAATAATATACCGTCATTTCCGGACTGCTAATTACACCTGAATATAAGCCACACCCACTAAATTTAAAAAGAAAAAAATAATTGTACATACAGTATATAGGCACTTCTTTATAACTCGCAATTTACACAGAACGTTTTTGTTTTTCACTTTTAATTAAATAAATGTTTGTTTGTTTTTTTCCCGAATCGTGCATGTAACACGGCTGGTTAATCCGTAGCTCTTTCCTGTTTCGACGTCCCGACCGTAGTTGGAATGCACAGGGGAGACTTTAAGCGATCCGCTCCAAGTGCGAAGCTAACGTTAGCTCCGGAGCTAACGCCCTAAACTCAGTGCTTGTCCGCAGCAGAGGTAAACAGAAACAGGGGAAGTTAGTGTCTTTATTATCAGCCACATCAAGCACAACAGTATATACACAGCATTGTAACAGCACCGCGCACATATACGCACCCAGCCATTCACGGGCAGACATACGCTACTAGTATAACACAGTAGCCTACCAGAAAAGATCGCTAGCGGTATGAACTTAAAAAAAATATCCATACCTGTTAAAGTCGAAGGGTCTAAAGAGTGTGAAAAAAGTTAAAAATTATAGACAACTAATTGACCTTTTGCATAGATATAATGGCGTCCAATGATTTACACTGTTTTGATTTACAGTGATATTGGGAATGATGTTATTCACGTCGTCAACAAGAGATGGAACACGTCTTTACCCTGGAGGTCCTGTGTATCTGTTTTATAGAAGAACGATATTTTGTCATTTTTGCCTTTGTGCTGTTGGTGCCAGCGCCAGAGCAGAAATACCTCAGTCTTCACCTCACACTAACAACACCTCCCCCATTTCACAGGCACTGTACCATGGGAGTGTGTGAGCTTGTAAATTGGAAGAAGTGACTTGAGATTATAAGGAAAAGGTGACGTCCTCAAAAAACAAAAATCACAATGACTTCGAAGACATGGGATGGAGACGGAATGTTTGTCTGTGTCCAGCTGCAGGCAAAAGGTAAATTCATCAGTTCAAATTGAATTTGAGCAACAGTACAAATGTGCCTTTCATGCTAACACGTTCACATGCGCTGATCAAACACAGCCTCCTTTCAGTTGTTCAGTTCAAGGTCGGCAGGTGGACACCCCACAAGTCAGATGTGGGACAGTGGCTAAACCTACTTAAAGATGATTTTGAATTTGAATTTTGAACCCATGTATCTCAGTTAATGGACAAACAATAAGTTGTTGTGCTTTTCTTTTCTTTTTTTTTTGACAAATTCATTCTCACTTTCAACTATTACAGGATGGGCAACAGTTTACTAACAACATAAATCTCCCTCCAAGTCCATATTAGAGGGACCTCCAAACCCCCATCAGTGCTGTGGCCTTGTGTTGGCTCTGCAGTTTCCTCTATAATATACTGTATATACTGTATAGCAGAGGCTGTCTACTCCATCTCTCCATTAGCTTTGGGGTCCTTATGATTCAAACAAACTTTGAAGACCCCAGTCCCACTGAATCAGTAAAAATACTGTGGGTCTGATGCCTTCAATTTCAACCAAAATCGAATCTAAGAACAAAAGTACTAGGACAGCTACACTGTGAGGTTTTAATGCTTCTCATTCTAAATCCATTAGCATTTACATTGTTCTTACCCTTTGAAGCTGGGCTACTTTCAACTCTTCTGGAAAGGCTTTTTACAAGATTTATAGAATGTCTGAGGGAAATGTTTGACCGAGTATCCAGAAGTGCATTTGTGAGGTGAGACACTGTGGACGGATGAGTCGGGGGGGCTGTGGCTTGCAATCTTCCTCCTATTTCATCCAAATAGGTGTTTGATGGGGCCGAGGCAGGAGCTCCGTGTCAGCCTCTCAAAGTCGTCCACTCCAAATTGCCCCAAACATGATTTTATGGGCATTGCTCTGCACGCAGAAGCACAGTCATACCAGCACAGAAATTCACTTTCCCCAAACTGCTTTTATAAATTTAGAAGCAAAGAATTCTCCACAATGACATGAGTTATGTCATAAAGACGTATCTTCAGCAAAACAAAAAAAAACTGTATATGGACTCCAAAATGGGTTTTTTTTAGATCAGATTACATGCAAAACTCAAATTATAACCAGATACGATATTTTGTCCATGAAAGTGTAAAGTTACGAAGTCAGTTATGTTATGTGACATTTACTCTAATATTATTTGCCCTTCCAGGTAAAAGCACAACTGTCCTGTAGAGTTGGGTGATGTAAGGCTAGGATGTTAATAGTGAAGGAAGTCCAAACTCTGCTGTGCTACAGTAATGACGTAATTAACTGATCGGCAATTAGGGAACTCCGCTCACTTTCTGTTATGTAAATGATGTAGAAAGTTTAATTTGACAACAGTGTCGGTTGAATTCGTTTCTACTTGCTTTAAACTAGCCTTCTGTTAACGAGACAAACATACAGCATACATAACACTGCTAAAGAAGTATCGGTACTCGGAGTCCTTTTAATGTCCTGGCGTTTATGACGATGTGATGCTGATGTGCCAGACAGAAGTTTCTCCTAACTTTCGTCAACTACACTTTGGACTTTATTCCTGTAAACATACAACTTTATGTCTGCAAATATATGACTTTTTCTTACAGTCCTAATTATCATAAATGTACAAATTAATCCTCAATTGGTTTGTTTTTCTAAATTTGTAAGAAAATCAAGTTGTAATGAAATCCTGAATGCAGTTGAGTAGATTAGATCACAAGGTAACTCAGTTAAGTCTGGTACAGACCACAGTAGTCATAGAAAAACCATACGTTCATAAACCTCAATCTGTGAAACGAACCAGAACCAGGTCTTCTATCTTATTGCTGCTGCAGGCCTGTCTGTCTGTTCTCATCAACAGAGATGGATGGCTGATACAAAGAGTTATTCTTCAACAAAAAAAAGGACAGCTGGCAGCCAAGAAAAGAACAAGATCCAAATGTTACTGAGACTTCTACGTGTCGGAATGACAGCCTGACTTTTTTTTCTTTGTATATTTCTTAACGTTTGTACGGATAATCAACATTTAAGGGAAATGAATTCATTACTGTCACTTAGAAAGTCTGTCTCCTGGAGCGACCACATCTGCTGTGTGCAGCCTGAGGGATTGAGTTAAAAAAGAGCTGATGTCTTCATACACAACGCAGGGAGGGTTGTTAGCACAGAGCTAATTTCTTCAGAGAATCCACTCCTGTTCAAAACTTGGAAAGAAATGCAGGCTGCAAGTAAAATATATACTCTTCAATCTAATTGCTTATTTATTTATGGCGTTTTCTGATACTGATAAGCTGAACAAAAAAATAATACTTTATCATAACGGCATTGGTGCAACACATCCAATAGAATAAGAAGGTTAAGGTTTGCGAGAAATAACAGAATTTTTGTAATACTTTTCCTTGAACACATTGTAGCCTGGAATTGGGGACCCGACCCCACAACCCTTATGCATAGCAGAGATAGACCACTCAGATTTCTAGTCACAGTTGTTTTATTCCTACTTGTCCCTGCTGCCATATATTTCCTGGCGCTATATTGTCAGAGATTTTGGACGAATCAGCTCCATTTAGAGACACAAGACATGATTGACCAAATTAAAGTCAAGAACTCAACTACGGGCAAATGGATCCAAATTATAGTAATTTTACGGATAATTTAACATTCTAATTTGGCTCTCCTTGGTCTGCACAAGAAAATGCTATTCCCCGTCTCATTGGATGAGACTCTCAAACTAGTCAACAATATTCACTCATGTATCTGGTGCTAGTGCCTTATGTCTGTGTCATATATACATTTATATATACTGTAAGTATATACAGTATCTATATGTATATACGTATATACTGTATATGTATGTATGTGTTTATATATATATATATATTGCAAGTGTGGTAACTGGAAGGATTGGGGGGCGGGGTTCACGAATACAAAGAGGCCCCCTGGGAAATTCCTCTTTTCTCTAAATGCGACTCTGCTGTGGGTCTATCCCGACCAGGCGGCTTCCACTCTTCTGTTGTGAGAACTTAATTTGAGTGGATAGACAGAAAATTGAAACATAATGAGGAGAAAGGCAACAGAGGGAAGAGAGAAGTCGCTTGTGATCCAATGTCAACCTCATAAAGACCTACACTGCCCCCATCTGGTGGAGGTATACACGGGGGAAAAAACATTCAGGCTTTTTGTTAAACCTTGCACATCCTCCATTTATGCAGTCATTACGGTCTAATTTGTGAAGATAAAAAAAACCCACAGAGGACACGCATCACATTACTGTAACATTGACTTTCTCCGCGTTTTCGTCTACACTAGACCTGTACATACATCAGCAGCAGGTTCCCATTGAATTATTCATCACAGAAACACTTGTTCTTTGCCAACATCTCACACATTATCTGAAAACTTTGTCAGGCTGGAACATTACATAATCTTTTAAAAACCTTTCCACACTACAGTACTGTCTCCTAGCAACCGACAGAAAGGGTTGGCAGCGCAGAAACGAGGTGACATTTTCCCAAACCACCATCCAGTGATTCCATCTGTATTGTGAAGTACTTCAATGTCCATGTTTTACGGGAAGGGTATGGCTTACAGTTGCAGGGGAGCTATTATTTGGTTCCATTACACTGGTGAATAACTGCCATTTCCTACTGTACAACAGGAAATGGCTCAGTAATGGAACATCTTACCATCCGACTGCAAGGCTCTTTGTCAAGTATAAGATTTCTCATCAAAATAATGTTGTTGTTTTTTTCAAAAGTTAATTAGTGGTGCACTTAATGCTTCTTGTACTCAGACTACGATTTATGTAATTATGTGTTATTCATTGTGCTGTGAGGATAATACTTAGGCATGACTTGTGTTTTTCTGTCACAGTATTCTTTTACATGTATTTGCTTGTATTAACCCTGGAACCACTGTAGTACAATGACACAGATATACATCATAGTTGTGTTTCATCTTTCATGGTGATCCACTGCTGTGGAGCTGAAGGTGAACTTCAGAGTCGATAAAGAGTGGGTCGCTGTGGGCTAACTGCAGTGGGCTGCATTAAACCAGCAAAACTGATGCACAGAGTTGACGGGGGAATAGCATTTTCTTGTGCAGACCAAGGAGAGCCAAACTTCCGCACTGCTTTCATAATATAACTGTCATTTCATAAAAACACTATCATCTTCTCTTCTGTCTTTGAGAGAGCGATTTATGATGTGTAAAACAGCATCCCTTCAAGTGAAAACATGGTACTGCACTCCGTTGTCAAGGCCAAGCTTGGGTCAGCTTTTTCAGGAATCTTTTTTTTAATCAGATGTTTTATTTCTTTTCATTCCAATTATAAGCAGCTTTATTGGCCAGGTATGTCGACACAAACAATGGCTCACTTGCTCTCTGTGAATTGAGAGTCGTAAAACACCTGTCAAACTGAATGATGGGTTTCTGCCTGCACATGGTGCAGCTATATTTCCATAAAATACTGTTCTAAACATAGAGAGTATCGCTGCAGCCGAGCTGTGAATGTGGGGATAGATGCATCCTTGTTTTCATACACTGGTCCCTTGAGACACAACAGCCCTGTCCAGGGTATACACTACTGGCACCTTCCCTCTTGTTCCTTGTCATCTGGCTGTGGCTGACAAAGCAATTCTCACAGACAGGCACTGTGGTGTAATGGATAGATGGCTCTTTTAGTCGAAGCATGACCTTCTGTTTGGTTTTGGGCCTTGTAGCGATGATGCATAGACCTGCTGCTGGCATGGAATAGGACACAGTAAAGAGGAGGACAGAGTGGTGCAGTACAGTCAAGCTCTGGGATTATAGTGTGAGTCTTATCAGTGAACAGTCCAACCTGACTTGATTGAAACCCAGCAGCATCATTAACATTAAATATGCATGTATAAAATGCAGACTGGAGATGTCCTGTACGGAGGAAATAAATGACAATTTACATTACTGAAATAGTCAGGCAGTTACTTACTAAAATATGTATTACTACATATTGGTATACATTTATAATGATCAAAAATATTTTTTAAAAGGATTAAGTAAAGGATTAAAAAAACTCTAACTCAAAAAATAAAATCCAAAGGAATAAAAAAAATAAATGTACTAGTCAGTGTGATTTTCCCTACTTTGGTATACAAACTGCTGCAACCCCTTCACGGCCCTGTAGGGGGCCCGTCCCCTGCTCGTCCCCTGCTCGTCCCCTGCTCTAGGAACCACTGACATGAACGTTAAATGTGCATCTCGTGTTTTGTTTTTTCCAATTTTAGTTCATGTATTGTGATTAAAAAATGTACTCCGATCGCAGTAAACACAGACTTGCTGGAGCAGATGGTTCATTTACTCACATAAGCAATGCTTAAGCACCACACAGTCACACAGAGTATATACACACACACACACACACACACACAGCACTGGCCCCCAGTGTGACATGCATATTTTATAGACAACCTTTCACTCCACTCCCAGTCCTGAACCCAAGGGGGCATTCTGGTTAAAAGTCGCATCATCTGGGCAAACATTTTCTTTTCTAGCTGCCAAGAACTCGGCAGGACGTTTGGTCACTTTCTCAGTAGTAATCTCTGAATGTTATTTGATCACCGGGGGTGTGTGAGTGTATTTCAGGCCATCTTACCCCCCGCATTCAAACACATGAATATTTTACATATCAGGTTAATATGACAGTTAGTTAACCTGTTTTTGTTTTGTTTATTTGGACTTTATTTCAGCTTTCACAACAAGCTCTTCCCCAGCCTCAATGAACACAATGTTCCATCAAAACACGTATGTGTGGAAAATGACCCTATAGCGCCGACTCCCCCGTGTTCATCAGTGATCTCAGCCACTCCGCCTCACTCTGGGTCCGACAGGACCGTGCATGATGTCACCCGTGTTTACAATGCATTCTGGTGCGCTGCTGAAGGAGTCGGCAGGAACAACTCAAGGACATGTGGGAATATCAATGCCATAGTAGACATGTGGTTGAACATCATCAACACGCCTAAAGGCACACAGTGGTTTCTTACGAGGGGTAGAACTAGTATAAGAAAAACAGGTACATAAATGACAATGATTGTTCTTTCGGTTTCCCAGGCAAAATATCTATATTTATTTGCATTAGAATGTTCTATTCACCAAAAAAAAAAAAAATATTAATCATAGTAGAACTTTGGGCGGCTGCTATTGGAGGTTAATTACACATTAGTGGAGTCATATGATTGGAAAGGTAATTAAACAAATATAGACATTGTATGTCTATATCATAACAAGTCATATCTTGTTCATCTAATTCAAGTAAACTTTAGGTACAATAGCACCACCTACAGGGCTGTATACAGCAGTGTCATTTGTGTGCTAGAAATGAGGGACGGAGGCAGGTGCATTTAAATGTTTTTTAAAACACATTATTTTAAAGTTTTTAATTCAGTCTCTCGCCCCAAATTTTTTAAAACACATTATTTTAAAGTTTATAATTCAGTCTCTCGGCCCAAAAAAAAATCATTAACTTGTCATATTCTAGATAGAAATAAACAAAATACTCATTTAAAAGGGTAAAAAAATAAATAAATCCCATAATTGTTATTTGTTTCTTTCATCTCAAAATAACAGCTCGTTGCCAGAGAATGAGTTGCAGTTTGTGTCAATAAAATTAAAAAAAAGTAAAGAGTAAAATAAATCGTTTTGTTTAGTTTTTCTCATGACCCAAAGGTGGGTTAACTAATTAAAGCAGGACAACAGCGAGTGAATACTTTATACTGTGTGACTGTCAGTATTGATGTGGGATTCTTTGAAGAGTCTTTACACTGAAGCCACCGTGACATTTAAATATTTACCGTTACCACCGTAACAAAACGACATGACTATTTTTGTCGGTCTGCTGGATTCTGTAATGAGCTGTGGAAGTCACTTCTGTGCCACATATGCAGTACAAACACAGGTGATCTATAGGCAGCATCCCACACAAAGGAGTGATCATATTGGAATGACAGTGAGAATAAGTGGTGGAAGAACTCCCGAGAGCTTTGCTGTCATGTAAGTTTCATGACAGGAGCTCATCAAATCAGTACTCCCCGTGGAGAAGAGGTGCTGAAGGCACACATCCTCCTCTCTGTAGTCTGCATGTGTGCCTGTCTCTCACTGGAATATTCCATTAGGTGGAGAAAAAGGGGAGGCGGGGGACAGCCAGACAGGAAACACGCTGGGAGAGAAATTAAATGTACTTTTTGCGCCAATCAATACCCGACTGTGCGGAGATGATAGAAGGTTGTTGGGGTTAGAAACAGTGTTTATCTGACAGGACATTGTCCTTCGAGGTCTGCAGTTGGATCTGAGCTCTGCTTCTGCAAACTTGAGCTGAACAGCATTACTCGCCCAATAAATCATCCTTAATCTTGTCTGTCTCTGGGTCACCTACAAAAAATTCATTAATGGGAGGTATTTCTCATGAGCTAATGTGTCAAGACAAGGTGAGTGGAGCTTCTCCAAGGCCTCTGTTGCCTCTCAGAGGAACATAGTATATAAACATGGCCATTACTCTGAGAAGCACATGTGCTGATATGGCCTTTGTTTTCCCTGCTGCCTGGGTGGAACCGGCCGTTTGTGTTTTCCTCCTTATAAACGCCACAAGTGACACTTTGGTCACTTTACAGAATTAAACATGATAAAACATTCATTCAAAAAAAACGCTTAAAAATGCTATTGGAAGGAATTGATTTCTACTGCCTTGGTGCTATTTCCTGTAGTGTCAATGCAGTACTTTCTTTGTCCGAAACCTAAAGAGGAATTCTTATTCTACTGTATTTATAATATGATATTTAATTATTTGTATTGGTAATAATGTTGTTCAGTGTCATTTTACTGCATGTATGTTTGTGTGTATTTATTTAGACTGTTGTCCACTAATCTTTGGGGTGGTGTGTCATTGAGGGGTGGCTCCAAACCATAATGTGCCCAGAGCCACTCACTTATATATAGATATGCTAACTACTGCTAACCATATGCTAATCACTGGCTAACCATTAAGCAGCTGGTAGTAGAGAAACATCAGTATGAGGTATTGCGCATGTTTTTGACTATTTGAATGAAGGATCAGGATTTGACATTGATACTGATACTAGTATCAATGTCAGCCTAGTTTAGACAGTACTTATTCAAGTTTGGCTACAAGGTTTTTACTGTAGCCTTCAGGCTAATTACCAAACTCTGCAATATGAAACCATATCTCTCCTTCCTCATCTTTTACTCAGTGCCCGTTGCCTTTGAAATCTTATCCCTGACATTTGAGGCCCTGCATGGTTTGCCAGAGAGATGTCTGGATTTTTAATCCAACTGACAGATGGAAAAGGTGCAGCCTCCGTATCCTCTGGTCAACTTTGATTTTTCAAGTCACTAATACTGAGACACATTACATCATGTGTTTGCGTCCTAACTTTTATTATGTTATTGGATTTCAAAAACGTCTGCGTCGGTGCATCGTGAAGGTCAGGTTTTTGTGAGGATGTAACGGAGAGAAGCGGAGACAGTTCAGGATGATGTGAACACATCACACACACAGCACCATTAAATACACTTTAACAGGATGATGTCATAAAGTCATTAAGTCAAACCTGGTTTTTAAATGTGTGACTGTGGATGATGGCTGCGCAGCCTAACCCTCACTGGTTGTTTCAAGTTTTCAGGGTGACTCTGTTTTAATACAGTAAACAAGACCCTCTGATTAGGTGGGCCCGAGTGCCAAGTGGCTAGTTGAGCAGGAAATGGGTTTTATGAGTTCTAAACACAACCTTGTCTCGTCTCAGTTCAGTCAAGTTCAGATGATTGATGGGCTTTGTTTCCTGCATACCAAATGCTGCTTGCACACAATGATGAAGTGATTAAATGCCACTGGTGGCAGCAGTGTAGCCAAGAAAACAACACAAAATGTTGATATAATTTAAAGGAAAAGAAAGCGTGCAATGCAGTTTTTACTGTTATATTGTTAGGATAATATAATTATGGAAATGTTTATAAAGTACTGTATGTGTATAGTTTAGTATAGTTCTTTTGAACTGTCCAGGGTGTACTCCACGCCCCACCCCCCATTGATGGATGGAGGGATGGATGATAGATAAATAGATGGATGATGGATGGATGATGGATGGATGGATAGAATTAGTGCGTCATTGATTTATTTCCATGAAATTGAAATGCAATTGTACTGTTAACATTTCAGTCAGTGCAGCTTGGCACAATTGTGATGATTTATGTCCTTTTTTCTTGTTTCATTTAAATACAATATTTAGCAGATATGATAATTACATTTACATTTGTATTTTTCATCTCCTTCAACTAGGATAAAACATCTGCATATGAAAAAATCATCGTTACTACAGTACAAAACACACTTGTTTTTTTATGTTTAATCAACATATTATTAGACTTGCGTGTATACTGTTTCTTCCATGGTTGGTAAAGGATAATATGCATATACAGTATTTGTTAGAACTATCAGGTTATCATTGTGGATCACCCAGCTGTACTCACGCTAATAATCACTGGGGAAACAGCATTTACATCCTCCTTCCTAAAGCCTCTTCCTACAGCTTATACTTCATGCGATGAATTCACTCAGTGAATGTAAGAAGAAAATCCACCGAGAGACAAAGCAGAAATGCAAATGTCCTCCTTTGTCATGCAAAAATGTTAACGTTCAGCAAATAAAAAACAGATTATGTTTGCATCGGGAAACAGAACGCCTCTGAAGTCCAGAATAAAAAGCGGTTTCATGACACGTCCTCTGTGTGACATTGCAGAGCATCACAGTGGTCTGGCCGTGAAAAAGCAAGGACATATACTTCCAAAAACAAATATATGCACGACAGTGAAGCGAAGGCCTGCGAGAGCTCTGAGAGCAGAAGGGACAAACAGAGCAACAGCTCATGTTGACTTGTTGTTCGTAAGCAAACACTGATTACTTGTGGAATCAATGGGGAAAAAAATCAAACATTCAAGAAACTCAGGGATTAATTAAGACAATATCCCACTGTGATCATGTTTCACAGATGTATTTGATGTTTGTGCAAAGCCCCAGAGAAACAAGTTCAATTCTTTGAGGTTATTTTTTTTTTTATATTTGCAACACTGTTTGGTTAAGTCTGTCAAAGAAACACAAGCTATTTGGCAAATACTCTGATGTCTGTCTGTAGGATGCCTGTGTGTAAACTAAACCTTAGAATATACAATAATTAAAGCCTCTGGCAAGTGAAAAATACATTTTTATTCCTTAATTAATGTTGAATAATTATTATATTTAAATTTCATTAGACACATGTGTATTAGCCTACAGTAAAAAGGGTGCAGTATTTGACTTATATTAGCTGGATGCTGCTGGGTGTGACACACGAAGTGTGCTCATGGTAATTCATATCCCTGCAGTCAGTCAGCGCAGTGATATAAGTCACCGCTTTAATCATGTTTAATGCTTACAGCATGGAGGCTGTTTGTAAGTACCATAATCCATGGTTATTGCACCCTGGCTGTCATTACACTTTTGCAAATGTTGTAGGTTTTCAAAACCCAAATGGGGCTAATACTACTGTCCGGCGTGTATTCTGTCGTTGTACTTGCAGTGATATTGAAAATAGAGATTATTTTGGTGATTTATCGATATTGTAGGATGACGGAATGCAGCCATTGGTCATTGTGGCCTTGTGGACATTTATGCCCCAGGCTGGTGACCCCATCCCTGTTAGGAGGAGAAGAAAGATCACAGGGTTCTTAAAGTTCTCCTGACCTGGGTGATTGATGGCTGAACTGGAGCCAGTTGCGGCGTACGTCCAGAAGAAAATGTCAGCCGTAGACTTAGACACTGACCTGTACTCAGTGAGGCTGGTCTGACATGAACTTGAAGCCTCCACACAGTACGCTAGGCATTAAGATGGTATTTTAAGCTTGAGATGCTTTGGTGAAATGAAAACATTTTCTTGCAGTGTCCAAAGGGCAACGTGATGGATGGATGGATGGATGGATGGATAGATAAAATATATATCCTTTTTTTATTTTGAGTCTACATTACATTTACATTAAGATCTTGTTTCCTGCTCAAACCCAAATCTGTCAGCAGGTGGCGTACTAATAAATTCATCATACATTCTTTCCGTTCAACTTTTTCTCTGTCAAAACTTGCCGGTATCTTTTAACATATCAATGTTGAAACTTGAACTCCACCGAGTCCAACCTGCCTGCACAGTATTCATTAGGTCATTTGTCTACTGTCCACTGCCTCTCATGGTTGACCTGAGGCACTTGAACACATCTCACTAACTGTGACATCTTCACTTTTCCACCTTCCTCTCTCTCTCATTCACAAACATGTATTCTGTCTTGCACTGACTGATTTTCATTCCACTTCTCTCTAGTGCACCTCCTCTACCCCTTCAGGCTCTTCTACCCACTCCCCACTGCTGCTACAGATCACAATGTCATCTGCTAACAGATACCGTTGTACCGTCCAGCTTCAGACTCCTGACTGAATCTGATGGTTAAATTAAAAGAATCATCTACCGTTAGTCTAAACTGATTACATATGCTGCATCTTTGTGGAAACAAAAACACTTCCACACTGTGTATTGTGTGGGTGGTTCTGCATATGTGTTTACATGTTGCTGAGTGGGAGTCGGGGCACAGCAGGGTTCTTGGCTTTCTCGCTAACCATCACCCTCAAGCCTTTATACATCTCATTGTAAAAGCACTACTGAAGCGCTCTGGGCGCGAGGTCTCTCACTCCCTGTAGTTTTCCTCTGTTGTGTAACTGTAAAATAAGTGATTTTTATTTTCTTCCTCCTCCTCCTCTGTTGTGTAACTGTAAAATAAGTGTTTTTTTTTATTTTCTTCACTCTGCCTCCTCTCTCTGGTCAGCTGTATGTTTTTCAACATGTGCCAGATTGACAGATGCAGTTGTGTTTGACAGGTGTATTTAGTAAAATCATGACTGCGTCAAGTGTAATTATTGTTCGGCCAGCGAACTCAGTCATTGTAATACTGTAGCTCATCAGCCATTTCCAAAGAGATGATGCAAATTGAGAGCGGACAAATTAAATGTGAACTTTGTTGTGTAATTAGGGCTGCTGCTGCTGCTGCTGCACTATCCTCAGCAAAGGGAAAAATAAAACACCAACGCAACAGACTGCGTCTCTGCTGCCCCCTGTAGCAACAACAGGAGCAAAGCACCAAATAAAAAAATCCAAAGTATGTTAAGATTTTAGAACAAAGAAAAACACTCACCAGTACTACTTTTTGAAGTATGATTTTAAGAGAGAGGTTGTTTCTCTCGAGTGTAAAAAGTATATTTTTATAGCCTATATGATTTTAATGGATTTTACTCCCAAATTATACACTAAATTATATGCACAGAAATTAAAAAATATAAAAGTAGTGCAAAAAATGTGGTAAAATATTCCATTAATTTTTTTTCTTTTCGCATTTGTTTTCCAACCTGTAATGTTTTAAATAAGTCAGCCACTTTCTTTTGCTGGGCTCTACTGCCATCTGGTGGTATTTTGTCTGAACACGTACAGCTTGTAAGTGACATTGATTTTAGTTTGATTGTAATTTAACAGGTTCAAGTTCTTTAATTGGCAGCATTTCCATTTGTCACTGTTATCTGTTACCGGTAAATAAGTTTGTGTCCTGACTGCTGGCATTTCAGTACAACCTGTGATTTATTGTCATCGGTGCTGTGCTATTGTGTTTGCAGCTTTGCCTGAGTGAGCCCCAAACGGAAGGCAGGAGAGAAATGGAAATAGAAATAGAAATAAAAATAGACATGTCAGCAGAGAAAAGAAATGCTTATTTCTGGCATTGTGTTTTTCCAAGCTGGTCCAAGTCCTGTCGTCTTTCTTTCAAAAAACATGTCTTAAGCATTCCTACTAATACCTCAGGTGAACACATGCATGGCATGCAGGTGCAAAATATTTATAAACATAAGGCATCATACCTTTGTCCACACAACTTTCACCCTGGAACAATTGACCCAGTATGTTCATTTTATTGAAGCACAGGCCTTTCTCTCTGGAACCATGTTAAAAAAACATGTTAAAAAAGTAACTGCCCTCTCTTGAAGAAACCTCCATACCTTACCAGGGAGGTCGTCTAAACCAAAACTTCCACTTTCCAAATTGTCCTGTAAGTATGAGCAACAGTACTTAAAGGACTTAAACAAGGAAAGTAAATTATTTGTCATTGTGACACAGCACACCACGAAATGTGACCTCTGCTTTTAACCAATCACCAAAGTGAACAGTGGCCTCACACCACGAAATGTGACCTCTGCTTGTGGGGACGGTGCCATGCTCAGAGAACCTCAGTGGTAATCTGGCAGCTGGGGGACTTGAACCTGAAACCTTCCGGACCCAACTTCCTTAACCACTAAGCCACCACCCCTTGTGAAAGAGAATGAAAAGAGCTCAGTATCATTCAGTCAATTGATATATGAAAAGGCGTGTATTTATTTATAAATATTAATTACAAGGCTCTTGTACTTGACAATAACAAGTAGATCAGAGCAGCGCTTGAAGATGTACATTTTTCCATACATACATTCTCCCCAAGGTTGGAGCAATCATGGTTGCTGTCCATGGTGCTGAATATTTCTTTCGCCTGTCAGACACTTTTCTGCTGACACAGCTTAGCCTCCATGGCAGCAATGTCTGCACCAGGTGCAACTCCCATTTTTTAAGATGATTCTGACATATTAGAAGCCCACACTGTCTTTCCTGTCTGCTGAATGTTAATGAAAATATGACACCATTCATTTAAAGCAGTGTTTCCCAAACCTTTTTAAAAGTCATAAACCTTCGCTACCTAAGTCAATAGGCATTATTCTTAAACTCCTGGGAAACATGATGTGAGACGACCCCAAAGAAATCTCTTGCGACCCACCTCAGGGTCACAACCCAGTCTTCGGGAAACAACAACAGACGGTATTATTTTTAGTACAATGTACCAGTCTGCTGGTCTGTTAGAATTATAATTCTGTTAGTGTCTGACAGACATATATTATTTATTTTGAAAATTTGCCAGATTGTCTTTTAATAAAGGAAGTATATGGACATTACCAGATTCTTTGGGACCTGGTACCAGATGACCCATGGACTGGTACTGGTCTGCAGACTGGAGGTTGGCGACCCCTGCTCTACAGCTCCATGAATTCATAGCCAGTTCATAGCATCACATTAAGGAAAACAAATCATTAATATTAATATATACATTGCTGTATCTTTGTGGACAACACAAACCTCTGTCTACATCTTCTATTAGAGTGATTTATTTTCTGAACTGAAGATCTCTGAACTGCAGCCTATTTATTTTGTTCATATTACTCACTTGAAACTCAGAAAATATCTCTATCCATTTTTTATATAAATAGTAGTAAATAATTATAGTTATAGATAGTAAAAAAATGCATTTTTCAAAAATATATTAGAAGGCTATTTCCAACAACTGAAATCAAAGAATTGGTCTAAATGTCCCAGAAACATTGTTAATGCTCACACTATTTCTCTGCTGTATGTCTGCAACGATGCTGCCTACTGCATTAGGTTGAAAAGTTGAAGAGTTGGTGTCAGTCAAGCAGCTCAAAGTCTGCAATTGAAATCCAGAAACAAGTAAAGTTGGGCTGATGTAGCAGAAACAGTGTAGCTTAGCCAGGTACAGTAATACTACAGTTTTACTACTTATTAATATAAGTAGTAAAACTGTAATTAATATTATTATTGCTTATGACCCTTGCATCACCTCATACAAAGTAAGCCTCAGCTCACATGACTCATTCATTTTTTTTGTCTTTTTGGAGTCATAACACAAGGCATAATAATGTGACTGTTGGCTCATGATTAAACAATGTGAACGCCGGCAGCTTATTAGCTTGTTGTTAATGAATATTTAATCATCTGTTGGTCTCTGCAGTGCTTTTAAGGCACATAACATCAATCATTTTTTATTTACGCTGGTTAGTTTTCATGTGCTAGTTTTCGTAAGCTCTGGGCCAGTGAAATCCAGAATAAACAGTAACGTTTACCTCCGTTCTTAAGCGTACTCTGTTATTCTGTTATTGAGTGCTAATTAGACGATAACCAGCTTATACTGTGGCTCTGACTGACTGGTTTTCATTGTACGTCTGCATGTTCTCCCTGTTTGTGCCTGGGTTTTATCTCCAGTATCATCCCAATGTCCAAAAACATCCACTCTTCTCTCACATGCCCACAAAAATATTGTGAGCATGTGTTATTCTTTTGTTATTGTGTGGTTGCTGTGTTATAGATTTGTAAGCTCTGGCTGTTTTCATTTGACCTCATATGCACGGAAATGAGACTTAGAAATTGTCAGTTATGTAACTGGAAAAAATGCAAATGTGATTTTATTATTTAAAGGACAAGGAAGCAATGGCTAAACAATATAAATAACTGTTTGGTTTGAAAATAGGGGCTTACTGTATACTGTAAAAGTCTGAATGTAGTCGATGACCACAGCACCATACATTGGTTTGATCTCTGTCACATTTGTAATGAACATCTGGCACTGATGTGGTCCACCAAACAATATGATGGCAATAGCAGTGGCCTTATTTGAGTTTGAGACCCCTCCCTTGGACAGTTGGTCCACATATGGAGACGCAAGTGTAAAAAAGTAAATGTGTTCAAATGACAATTGCCATTGTGTGGCTCAACTAGTACAACTAGCAATAAATAGCCTTTGAACTTTTCCCTTTTTTAATTTTTTTTGATGTATTTATCATATATATATATGTATTTTCCTTTTCATAGCCTTTGAACTTTTCCCTTTTTTAAAATTTTTCTGATGTATTTATCATATATATATGTTTTTTTTAAGCTGCTTAATGTGCTGCTTGTAATACCATCAATTGCGCCTGAGGATAAATGAAGTACAGTATTTTTCTCTTGCTGATTGTGAGGACACTAGAGTAGCCCTGCTGGTGAAACATGGCGGTACATCTGTAATAATTGGAGCGAACATAAGATGTAAATAAACATCGAAAACATCGTATTTTCGACAAAAACGCCTATAAGCTGTTAAACTAAAAATAAGGCTGTAATCACTTTCAAAGGTTGAGAATGTTAATAACGTTAAGAATATTTATACAAAATTATAACATGTTATCTGTATCTAGTTCGATTAATTAATTTCAAGAATTAAAATAAACGGGATAATACAGCATAGACAAAAGGCGAAATATAAGGGTTAAAATCGATACTACAAATAATTTCTATTGTCATTCGGTGAGAAAACTTTTACAACCTCTGATAGTATTAACCGCCAACTTTTGAGACGGATGTTGACAGAAGTCCAAGTGTATGATAATGTATTAAAAAAACCGTTTAAATAAAAAGTGCGTATCATCAATGAGGGCAAGAACCGCTGGTGCCATATTTGAAAGGCAAGGCTGGGCATTGGGGTTGAAGGAAGCTTGTCCACCCGGTAGTCGGAGCCGAGCGGAGGGGGGACTCGACAGCGAGAGCTTCAGGCGGCGGTGTCATAGAGCTGGCGACGGACACAGACACATCTCCTCCGCGCTTTCCGCATTTCTTAAGCGGACGTTGAAATGATCATCCTACAGTCGTAGTTGCCTTGTTTGTATTACAGAAAGGTAAGTTAAACTTCTACACTGTCGAGCATTTTCGGGGTTTTCCTTTTAGAAAATAACCAAGGCTAGGAGTGGAAGCTGTGGCCCAACACAAAGGCTTTCTCAGCCGGAGAAAATGCCGGGGTTGCAGCAGCCTGGAGGCCCGCTTGTGTCGTTCTAGCCAACGACTAGCTACGGTTAACGTTCGGACGTCTCTCGTCCTCTCGCTAAGTTCTCGACCAGGGGGTTTCTTATTGATCCAGTGAATTCTTTTTTGGCCACAAAGTTGCATTTGGAGATGTTACATACGACTGTGGCCGGTTTTGACAACCACAGTTGCTCACCAGAAACATGGTTGCTCTGCGGAGTCTCCTGGCGCCGCACGCCGGGCGTTTGCGTAGTCTGTGCCGCTAGGGTGTTACGTGGACAACCGTGGTTGCTCTGTAACAACCGGGAACAGCCATCCGGAAGGAAATGCTTGCTTCGCCGCTGTTTTGTTGTACAGTACGGTTAAAAAAGCTGTCCAATAATGTTGACAGGACTGGAGAAACTTTCTTTATACACATGATGTGTCAAAACTAAGTTGGCGTGTAGCTAAGGTTTTAAGAGTCTTTTAGCCACAATTCTTCATTTTCTATACAGTAAGCTACCGGGTATTTTGCAGCGGGGCGTCTGTGATGGCCGATTGTCCTTTCCCGGTCTTCAGCCGGATACAGCAGTTCTGTTTTTCTGGTAAAGCTTCTCAGTTGTCGGGGAAACTGTGTCTGTGTTTAGTCGCTTGGTACCTTCCATCTGCAGGCTCACCGAACAGGGAGGGGAGGTTTGATATTTTGGCGTAGATGTGACTAAAAAGACGGTATTATCGCTCTGTGCGATACGCGTTAACATTGTTGAATGGCCAATGGCGATGTACTCGTAAGTGGGACATTTTTATTTTATTTTACAGGATTCGTTTAAATACTTCCAAGCTCGTCACACAGTCCTAATAATTTGTTGTGATGTGCCAAAGGCTGCATTTTTTTAATCATCCGGGGCGTTGTGACTTCTTTTTTTTTCATTATTTTATTATTTGTTTTGTTGTGTTATATAGAAATACAGAATATTGCTTTATGAGCTTTTCTGTACATTGACTGGAGGATAATACTAAAATATAGGTCTAACCTGACAAAAAACAACTGTGCTGACTTTTGTTAGCAATGTATTTCTTTTTATAAAATTGAAAAAAAAAAAAAAAAGAACCAGTGATTTAACAGAAATTTAGCAATGTATTTCTTTTTATAAAATTGCAAAAAGATAATAAAGAACCAGTGATTTAACAGAAATCCAACTGCATCTTAAAGTGCAACAATTGAAGCATATGTCTATAAATATATCGATTGCATTATTGTCTTGTCCTTTTTACTCTGCATAAGGAAACATCTTTTCAAACACCTGTTACTGCTTTATTATGGTTTAGTGATTGATTATCATCAATGTCATGAAAAAATTAACTAAATAGTGAACATTTATATGTATTGGTATTTTGATTAATCAGTCACTCATTTGTGTATCTGATTCCAATTTTAATTAATTAATGGCGCATTTGAGTAAATATTTAATTATGTATTTATTTATGTGGGCACTTTCATTCCTCCATACTTCATACTCACTCAGTAAAGGTAATTTAAAAACATGAATTACATACATGCCATTGAAAATAGTTCCTTTGATCTGAGCTCATACTGCAAATTGAAAAAGTGTTATTTTCATCCAAGTACAGTATAGATGTCAGAAGCTGTTCGTAGTTTTTGACGTATCAGGAAGAAGAAGAAAAAAAATAGTACATCTGGTATAACACCAGGCACTGTGTATTGTAATCACCCTGATACATATCATCTTATATCTATTCCAAATTGTATCTCTTAGTTCTATTATAGATCTTTTTCTGTGGGGAGGGAGGGAGGTGTTGACCCAGTTACAGATTTAGGTTCATATTAGTTTATTATTACCAGTGTGTTCATGCCCAGTTGAAGCCCCTCCTTCTTGGGCAGTGGGGGGTAAGGAAGCTAAATGCTCTGGGATAATAGAGATTTAATAGAAAAAGCTTTTTCAACTATAGTCATACACACATTTTTTTCAAGGCAACAGTGGTATTGGTATTGTTCCTGCTTGCTATGAAGTAGTTTTGGAAGATTTGATTTCACCTATCCCACAATCCCACTAGTTCTAATTAAAGAACTTGAATGTATATTTTAATAAATATGAATATCCTGTTTCAGTACAGTCTGTTTTTAGCTTTTTTCAGAAGCGCATGTAGGATGTGAATAGGATTTTAGATTTAAAAGGAGTGTTGTTCAAAATGCCTAATGATTATTTAGTTTTTGCTAAACAGAAAAGTTTTCCTAGACCTTATACATCTTCGATCAGGCACTCCAGTCACAGCCCCGTGGCAGTGTTGCCAAGTGGAAAAAAATGGACAACTGCCCTCAGGCTGCAGGTTCATTTTGGGACAATTAAGTTAAAGTCATTTAATTACTGCTCATTTGGTGTTGTGTGCACTTTATTAAATTGAAATGGCCCAAGGTCTTCTGCATTTTCAACAATTCAATGCCCAGTTCTGCAGGATGGGACTATGTTTTTGTAAAATGTAAATCCTTAAATGATATGTTTGATCTGTCGTGCCGGTACCCAACGCTCAAGCTACCACTAGGGGGCGCGATTTAAAACTGCGAAGTGTGATTTTTTTCCACACTATAACGATGTGTAAATAAACATTTATTTTATAAGATTTAAAATCAAATGTATTTTAATTAATTAATAAATACAGGCAAATACATAATATGTCTTAATAGTCATGTTTTATAAAGATGCTGCACCAGTTTTTCTCTCAGAAATGTAACTAAAAAATACTACAATAAGCAGCCCTGGTGTTTTTTAGTGTGTGATGGCTTCTGATATTGATTGCATATCAATATATTTTCTAATGAAAATATGCACAATATTCACAGATGTTTTTTCCTTCCATTGTTGGTTAACTTTCCTTTGGCCTTGATTTCTGTTTTAGGCCGAACCATGTAATTGGAATCGGAGGCGTCTGCACTCCCGTGGTCAAGGACCTCACCCTACTTCACTAGAATGTACTTGATGAATGCACCTCCTGTCGCTGTGAGGCAAACAGAATGGAGAGCATGTCGTCCACCCGGAGGCTTTAGCCTTCAGTGCTTCAGTGACTCTGACGCAGAGTTGTCAACCAGAGGCACACCTATCTCAAATAAGGTCCAGATGATCATAGAGAGCCTAAGGAGCAGCCAGTCCTCACTTGAGATGGGCGATGAGGTCGAGGGAAATGTGCTTCCAGGACGAGACAATCGTCTTCTAAAATGCCAGGCTGCGGGCGAGGCATATGCGGGAGTCAAATCTAAAATGAAGGTGTCCTCCATAACTCAGCCGACAAACGTGTCCTCCACAATCAAAGTTGAGAGCAGTGACACTGACAGTGATGATTCTGTGGATAGAGGGATTGAAGAGGCAATCGCTGAATACCTGAAAGAGAAGGACAACCACAAGCGTAAAGCAGATCCGTGCCCTGCATTGCTGCCCTCTTCAAAAATTCAGAGGAAAAATACGCCCACTTCCGAGATGACTAAGGAGACCTCTGTAAACAATACACATTTGATTGCAGGCAACACTTATCCCAAAAGTGTCCTGGCTGCACCAGCTGTTATACCCATCAAAAAGTATATAAAAATCAAGGCCTCTTCTGATGACAACGTTAACAATTTGAATTGTAGTAAAAATACTATGACCAACGTTCCCCTGTATTCCAAAGAGTGTCGCACTGTTGCAATGAAGGCAAAGGAGGACTCCACTGATTCAAGTAGTGACGATGGCATTGAGGAGGCCATTCAGAAATATCAGCTGGAGAAACAGCAGTTGCAGATCAGAAAGGAACCCTTAGGTCAACGTTCAGACAAAGATGATTCAGACTCCACAAGTGACGATGGCATTGAAGAAGCTATCCGCAGCTACCAGCTTGAACAGCATAAGGAAGTGTTAAAGCAACTTACACACACAAACAGTCCTAATAGTAAGTCCCTTACGCACACTGTCGGAAGTAAAAGCACTGAGACTACAAAGAAAAACAAATTGTCAAGGAAAAAGATCAAAATTGATAAAGAAATGACATTAGTTTCTAAAACATCTGCTGTCCCACCCAACGACATGCTGACAGAAGAAAGCCAGAACGGCAAAGGAAATGGATTACTTTTATTTAAAGGAGAATGTTTCAAGCATCAACCTACACCCAACCTCTCCAAGGTGAATACCTCTGCAGAGCTTATGTGTGCCGAGGCAATATTGGACATTTCAAAAACTGTTATGCCCGAGGTCTTTCATCAAAACATGGAGCTAGGCAGCTGTGCCCCCGCTGAATCTGCCCTGCAGCCTGCGATTCCTCAGCCGGATGAAGAAAGTGATGACAGCTCAATTGACAGTGAAGATGGCATTGAGCAAGAAATCAGAAAGTTTCTGGAGCAGAAGGCCCAAATGCACAAACAGCCACCGTCCTCTACTGTGTCTCAAAGTACAAGTGAGTTGAACAAAGTGAAAGAAAAACAAGTCGTGATCCAAAAGAGATATCCCAAACTGTCACTGGCACAGAGAAATAGAAGGAAAGAGGTAACACTAAATGGTTCGGGCACAGAAGAATCTGCATCTAAACATCTGCCTGATCAAAAAGAGGTGAGTGCACCGATAGTTACATCCAGACCAGAGCAAAGTGGAGAGAAAAGCAGCTCGCTAGACAGTGACGAGGACCTGGACACTGCCATAAAAGACCTGCTCAGGACAAAAAAGAAGTCAAAGAAAAAGACGAAAGACTTGAAGCAAAAATCAAAGAAATGCCTTCAGGGGGATCAACCACTATCAAGTAATACGTCACAAAAGAAAGGACTTAAGCCTTGTGGCTTAAAAAAAGTGCAAAAGATTAAGAACGCTATGAAGGACAAAAGTGAATTAAATAAAAAGGGCATGTTGCAGCATAAACAAATGGATACAAATAACAAGCATGGACTTGAAACGGGAATAAAGCAATATACCGAAGATCAAAATCCTTTAAATGCTCCACAGACAAAGGACGATAGTAGTTCAGTAGATAGCGACGATAGCATTGAACAAGAAATAAGAAGGTTTCTGGCTGAAAAGGCCAGAGGTTCAACGGCACAGAAGGACCAAGATACAGTTGTGTCAAAGACTGACCCTGCTGTTACTCACAGTCCAGCTCAGAATAAAGATGGAAGTCTAAGAGAACGTTACACCACCCCTTCATCTGGACTATCTCATAACACATCTCAAGACAGTTCAACACAGACATTGATGCCAGATTTCCCAACTTTTGACTCTCTCTCACGTACTTGCTCAGCTACGACCTGCAGTCCCAGTCTACTGCAACCAGCAGATGGAGCAGGGGCTGCTAGAACTACACAAATGAAGCCCTGTGTCGGAAGAGTCGATATGCAGGAAGTTGCAATTATGATGGAAAGAGTTGAGCCAGATTTGAGCCACAGTGTAGCCTATGCCCTTTCTGATTCAGTTAAGTGGCACCAAAGCGTGAAACTCCCTCTCTCTGACCCAAGGACTGTCACTCGAGTACCATTCCATATCACAACGTCCAAAATCAACAAGACCACACCATCTCTACCGTATCCAAGCAGAAGCACCCACTCCATCTCTACCGTATCCAAGCAGAAGCATCCACTCTACATCCACTAGCACACAGACTCCCCTTGCTGCCTGGTCCTCCACAATAACGTCCGGCCATTCACCATTCCCATGTTCTACAGTACATAGCCCACACAGACCGGGCCATTCACCATTCCCATGTTCTACAGGGAAGACTGTACATAGCCCACACAGACCACCTGTTGTGACCTGTTCGTCAACTGCCAACCAGCAATCAAGAGTATCATTTTCAAGAATGTCGTCGACCAGCCTCAGGTCCCCTTGTCCTGTACAAGGAGAGACGGAGAGTATGGTGCACATTTCTAAGGACAAGAGTGTGTTCGTGGAACTAGAATCTGATAGAACCAACCACGTCCAGGTTCGCAGCAGAGAACAGAGAGAGGCAAAGGCGGGAGTGGACCTGACAATTGTAGTTAAAGAGGAAAGTGAACCCTTGAAGATAGATGAAAAAAAAGAGGAAGAATTTGTAGATGAGGCAGAGTGTGAGTCAGACAACACAGGAGACCCAGTGAAGCAGGGCTTTGCAACATTGTAAGTATTTCCTTTGGTCACACTGTCGAATACCATCAGTATCCAGAGTCCAACTTTTATACAACCTGAAGAAATGATCGGTTCCTTCTTATAAGTATATCAAGTCAAATCATTTGTACACACGGAAGCATCGCCTGTTCGTGTATTGACACAAAACAGTTTCTATCTGTACATTTTTATCATGTGATATCACCAATACAAACTGATTTTGTTCAATGTTGCTAATTTATATCCCAACGTCCTCAAAAGCAATACAGCAATGGTTCCTTAACCTTCAGGGCAACACCCCCTGGCCCTCCTTTTGTAATTAGTATCATTGTCGTTCTATTCTCAGCTATTGCTTAAGAACTCCTGAAAATACCAACTAAATAAACAACCCACATATGAAAAGATTTAGAGCTGGGATCATAATACAATACATGTTATATCATCAGCATAAACACATTATGTGTTGGATCATTCAGGGGGAATCTGAGGATCATTTCATTTGCATTTACTATACATCCCGTGTACTGTTTGTCATTGTCAAATACTGAAGTTGTTTTTTTTAACAGACACATTTGAGAATCTTTGTGGTTAGGTGCAAAGTTTTGATTTATTTTGAAACAAACGGTGACTTCTTAAGACTTGTTTTTTAAGACGAATGACAAGTCCAGAATACAGGCCTTAGAGAAGGATTATCCTAAACCACCACAAGGGGTCGCGGTTTGCTCTCGCCATTGATCACGTCCTTTAAGTGGGACCAAATGTGATTTGTTCGAATTAAGGCTAAAAGATAGTGATTGAGACCATTCACTGGTGTGGATAATGTTAATTGACTGGTTTACAGTTGAGTAAATTATCTTTATGGTTTGAACATATCTAGGTGCTTCACTCCAGGCTGCTAAAGAACAAAATGGGACAGATACATTTTTCAACTTTTTTTTAAGGCACCTGTTCATCACAAACGTCTGCAACTATCATGTCATTCCTTAAATGCTCTGAAGATGTTATAAAGCTGTTTTTCAGACACATTACTCTTAGTTTATTGTAGTATTTTTAAAGTCACAGATGTGTTATTATATTTGGGTTGTTTATATGCTACTACTACAGTCATGGACTTTTCATGAATTTTCCAAAAGCCCAATATTTGTCAGTCTGTTTTGCTAATCTTGTAATTCACTGTTCATTTTCTTTGTCACATTAAAAAATATCAGAATTTCTTATGTAAAAATAGCTATTTATTTTTCTTTTTAAAAAAATAAATAAATAAAGTAACTGAACATGCTGTGCATTGCTAGGATTTGTAAATATTTTGTAAGAGGTGTCCCTCTCTCCCCTTCATTTTCATATCACATAAAAAAAACAAACATTTTGCTGTGTCTTTTAAGTGCAACTGTGTAATAAAGAGTGTGATTCAAACGACAGCGAGCCTTGTTCCATGTTAATGCCTTAAGAGTTTAATCTCTGTCCTGCTTTGCCTTACTCAGGTCTTTGTCCCGAACTATTGACCCCGGCATAACCATCAGTTCTTACATAGCTTTGAACACAGAGGAAAGGAGCAAGATGTTCAGGAGGTACCTGCCTGAAAAATTCCAGGTACAACTGTGTTACAACTGTGTCATTGTGCTGCAGTTCAGGTCTCCTGAATGTCCTGAAAGAGTCATTTAAAAAGGTGCAGTAATGTTTAACATGCGATGCTTGCAGGAAAATGCTGTCAAAAGAAAGCTCCAGCTTGTGTCAGTCAACAGGTATGAAGCCCTGACCTTCATAGTAACACAGTCACACACTGCTAAAAAACCAAAACTTAACTACTTTTGTCTTTGTTGCAGGACAGATACAGCGCAGGGCCGTACAGCACAGCACGCTAAAACTTCCTTTTCAGTCTGCAGCTTTAGTTTGTACTAAAATCGTTTTTTTGTGCTGTTGCACACATTATGTATTTGTTATTTAACTTTTAACATATAGAATTTGACATGCTAGGGTTACAAAAACATCAGTATTCTGTTTCATCAACATCAGTACTACATGTTTTCCTCTCAAATGAAATGTTTAGAGTTTATTCTATTTTGCAGTTTAATACTGAATTTCTGTTGCCACGTTCCTGTTCTAAGGAGTTATATTTTTTTTATACCTTCACATTTTGCTGCTTCACAATACATAAGCTACAGGTGAGGAAGTTCTGTTGGATTCTCAATAAAATAATGGCAAAAATTAGTTTCACTCTCCTCTGACTCTAAATGTCGATGGATTTTAAGTGAGGGATCTAGATTTGAACATGAAGGTAAGGCTAATGTTACTGCAGTTTCTCTGACCAAATCCAAGTACAGTAGCAACAGTTTGTATCAAATATTGTTTAATTACTTTGTATAAGTATTGGTATGTCCGGATCTTTTGTCAAAGCATTAAGACAGATGACTGAATCGCAGCTGACTTTGCAGCTCGTTGATCTCTTTGAGGAGTGACTCCTTCTGCAGGTTGAACTTTAAAAATGGAAAAAAAAAAGTTTTGTTAAGAGACAGAAAAATAACCTCAAATGAATATATTATGTGTTACAGTAAGGAATGACAAAAACATCAACTGTCCTGATGTGTAAATTTACAGTGGGGGGGTTTCTATATAGGTTTAGAAGATTAACCCTTCCAGACAAATCACTCACCCTTTTTGCATATTTATAAAAATGTTCTGCTTCCTCTTGTCTCCCAGTCTGAAAAACAAAGACGACGTTAAAGACAACTTCAGAACACTCATTGTTCTTGTTTTGGGTTTTATTGTTGTTTTTTGTATTTTCACCTTACTGCTCATGTCCATATCAAAAACTGTTAACAACTGTTATTCAACCCTACTTTACTTTAAATATATTCTTCGTTCGAACCAATACTTGAACTAAAATCTTAGGAAAGTAGATGAAGAACTGTGGGATACTCATATAATTTTGTCACATTCTATCGTGACATATTGAAAGTAGGGAGACCTTAATGTGGACAAAGTAAAGTAAAGTTTTGTTCAGGATGTCACATTCACTCACCTTGAGGCAAATTAGCGTCAGGTATCCCCACACTTCTGGATTCTGGTTGTTCAAGTGGTTGGCCTCGGTGAAAGCTTCCTCGGCTATTTCCAGCTCCTTGGACTAACACAAAAACAGACACATATATTTAAATATATTTTTACTAAAAACATTTTCTCCTAAATTGTTAACTTTAGCCTTGTAAGAAATGTTGTCGTTTTTGTCTAAAAGTGAAGTTTTTACCCCAAAGTAGGCTGTGCCCAGACCCAGCCAAGTCAGACTGGAGGGAAACTGCTCACAAGCCTTCAGGTAGACCATTTTGGCTAATTCATACTGTCCAAAAATATGAAAAAAAGTAGTTAACCAACTACGTATATTGTGTTATGTATATTGTGTTTGTTTTATGTTTGTATATTGTGTTATAAAAACTGCACAATTTCCATTTTTATGTTTGTTTTATGTTGGGTTTTTTTTGTCAAATAATTACAGATTCTCACACTTTCTTGCTGGAGATAGATGGATCCCATGCGGAGGAAGACGAGGTTTGACGGGTTCTGCAGGAAACTCAGGCTCCGGTCGTAACACTCCCGGGCGTCATTCAGGGCTCCGCGCTGGTAATAGCAGTGGCCCATCAGAGCCCACATGTCTGCATCCTGCCCATATGGTGGACAGATTCACAGGTCAGTGTTAGGAAGAGATGCTCATTAAATAAGAGCGGCTGTCACCCTACAGTACTCTGACACTGGCAGCCTCACGTCACATCAACGTCACATTTAATGCACTTCAACTGTGTTGTTCAGCATTGTTCCAAAATGACCACTGAAGTGTGCAGCTGCAATTCTAAATCATTAGTATTTGATCTACATGTCTGTAAATGAGCAAACAGTGTATTAAACTGGTTGTTTTCAATCTAAGGCACACGTACCACTTGTGGTACCTTCTGGAATCTGTTGGAATCTTTTTTTTCTCTTAAATAAGGTTTGTTAACTAGTGAACATAGTGTTTATACAATTAAAAAACTCAAAAACTAATTGGTTGAAGGTACCAGTTGTTGTGATACTACAGTACATAGTACACTGTGGCTTTGGTTGATGAACAAATACATGCATACTGTGCTCAAACTCGCAGTGTAGCACACTGCTGTGCTATAATGTTGTTCGTGCACAACATCATTATTAATTATGCAGTAAATCTAAACTTTATTACCCGCTCTTTGTGAGACAACGCCTGACTGAGGTTCTCAGCGGCGCTGTCGTATTCAGCCTTAAGGAACTGCAGCTGGGCCAAGTTGTAGAGGTAGGAAACGGAGCGTCTCCCGTTTGAGGACAGCAGCTCCTGTGACAGAGCGTGTTCAGCCATCTGAGGACGACAAAAGGCTCAGATGAGGGTTGGTGTTTTTGAACTTTCTGAGGAGACAGGCTTTGGGTAAAGTTTAAAATGATGTTGTTGTTGTTTTGTGTTCTGAATCTGACCAGGACTTGGTGTGTGTTTGTTCTGTGTGTTTTTACCTTCAAAGCATTGTTGTGCAGGAGGAACCTGACAGTCTCTATGTAAATGGATGTAGGACCTTTTGTTGAAACTGTCATGGTAGGATAGGGTCTCACTGAAGGGTCTTTCAGACTCTCCGTCTCGCTCTCGAGAATCTTTGGATCTGGGAGGGTAAATAAAACAGAGCAGTCAGCTGATGGTCTGTCTAAAAGCTATAATTAATGCAAATCCGTTGAAAAACATAGGGAACTATTTGTCGTTTGCTGTAGTCACCAAGGTGATGAATAGTATCAGTGGACTGATAGAGTTCACTTTCCGAATCCTCATCATCCAGGGTGTCTTTTTCCTCTTTGCTCTTATTCTCCTCCTCCCCGTCCTCCTCCTCCTCCTCCTCTACCTCGTCATCATCTCCGTATCGCTGGATGTAATCTTGGTTCAAACACAATTGTCTCCTGGCCTCATTGAAAGCCCATTCGGCCAGAATGGAGTCGTTCTGGCTCTCATGGAGCAAACCTAGATGGCAGAAAGTTGATGGTAAAGCGAAGATGATGACAATTTTATTTAAAAGAAGAGCATGTTTTTCAGTAGGGTTAGGTAGTTGATGTTCTAGGATGCCTAAAATGCCAGGTCAGGGTAGGGTCAAAGGTCAAACAATTATAATGCCACAGCTCTCACCCAGAAGTGTCCAGGCCACCACACTGCATGGATCGATGCTGGTTGCCTGCTCCAGGAACGTCTTAGCCTCCGTGTAACGTTCAAATGTTGCTTCCACGACCCCACACATAATCAGACTAAAAACAAACGAGAACGTTATTCCAAACTTCACATCTCTAATCTGCAGTGAATCTAATCTGAGTCCAGTAAACTGAGAAGCGTGGAGTAGCATTTCCAACCTGGGGCAGTGCTCCTGCTGCACCGACACTGCATTGTTGAAACACTCTTTAGCCAACAGGTAGTCTCCTAACAGCATGCAGAGCCCGCCCCATGCAAATTTGTAGACAGGCTCACGGGGACACCTCACTACCAACTGTAGGTAAATATTAAAAAAAAACACAGAGGTCGCTCAGAGTCATTGTTAATATTTAACATTAAAAAACCCTCAGTTGTGGTGTTCTTACCTCCTGATAGTAGAGAGCGGCCTGTTCATAATCCCCAGTAAGCTGAGCTTCTCTGGCAAAATATCTGAGCTGAGGGCATGATAAATGATGATCGTCGTCGGCGTCACGAACAATGCTGTCTGAATAAATCTGACAGGGCAGGAGAATGTCACAAAGAGAGTATGGTGTTATGTTCATGTCTGCTTATTTACACTAAAAACCATTTATGTTCATGTCTGCTTATTTACACTATAAAAAAAAACATACGATGGGTCGTACAGCTGCAAGTCTGAACTCATACTGTACATAGGTTCCTCTGTCACTAACCTACGCTAACACCGTGGTACATCATAATGAGAGCTGAAGTGGGCTGGACATAATTACCTATAATTACCTATAAATAACAATAAGTCCATGTTTTTCCCCTTTGTGTTCGTGCGTCTTCAAGTACAAGTACCGGTATGTTAAAAATATTGATATTTAATGAAATATCATTTGACAAAACATTTCTAACATTAAGTGTATATGAATTCAAGCAGGCCCGATTTAATCTCTAAGTGGGCCAATTTTGGCCCGTTGGCCATATGTTGGACACCCCTGATCTAGGACACAAAAGACATCAGAAGAGTCTGACTTATGTCTGGGAGCATCAGAATGATGGAACAATACATTTATGGGAGACGTAACCATTGAAAGCCGTAGGTCAAGGACGTCGTACACTGAGGAGCCACTGTGTATATGTATATATGTATGTGTGTGTGTGTGTCTTACTTTATTCAAGGCTACATGCATTTCATCCACCAGGAGAACATAGAGCTTTCTAACAAAAGCCTGCAGCTCCAGAGAGTCAGTGAAAGGTTCGGTCCTCTGCATCTGGTCACGGACCAGCCTCACCACTGCATGCTGCACACCAGAAACACAGTGACGGTCAACGGTGAGTCAGCGGCAACAATAAGACAACCTTCGTCCGTACGACCTTCATCTGCTCCTTGAAGGCGAAATATCTCCCAGTGTCATTGAGTGAACCCAGCAGCTGAACTCTGGCCTGCTCCCAGCTGAAGTCTTCTGATGGGATACATCCTGCTGCGATTAACTCCTTAAACTGGTCTGAGACATGGGCCACCACGCTGGCCACCTGTTTGTGGAAGTCAAATATTGCCTGAAGGACCACATGAGTAACAAAAAAATAATTAGAAACTAACAAAGCTCTCATTTCTTCCCAGCGTGTTTTGTGATTTTGTCTGTGTTCGTGTCTCTGTTGTTTACCCTTTCTGATCTGCTGGGACCTGCTGGAGGTGGTCTGGGTGGGATCAGTGCTCTCACCCTGCAAAGAACAGAGACACAGCTCAGCAGGGATGGAAGTGGATGGTAGCGAGATGCGACTGACAAAACCACGGGACTTTGTTTTGACCTAATGACCTTCTGCTCAGCTCCTCAGGAGATGTTTTGGGGATGAGCGGTTGCTCCAGGGAAATCTCCACAATCAGGTAAGTCCTGGCCTCCAGGTACATCTAACATCAGCAAGGACGCGGCGGTAATATGGTGAAGGGTTATAGAAATAAGAAGGGCTTATTTGTACATTAAAAATGTAACACTAAGTCACTCAAGACTGAACGTGTTTTTGACTCAATCAACAACATTAGTAAAAACAACAATGACATTAAATAAACCTATTACTTAACACATGTTAAAGAAAGAAATAGAGAATTCTAAACTTTTTTTTTCATATTCATATTAAGTGCTAAGTGCTTTTTTTCTTGAAAATTCAAAGTTTTAGAACCTAGTGTTCTTAACATTCACATTCAAACTTTCTGAGCTAAAACTAAACAACATGTCCTGCAGTAGAAGCTGAGCTACATACTGTATGTCACTTGTCACCTCACAGTTTCAGGTCATTGAAGTCTATTTGTATTGTAAGGATGTGAGCTGCTGTCTAGTGAATACCTACGTTTGCGTCTGCGTTGCCTGGGACGTCTGCTTTGTTCTTGGTTTGACATGATTTTACTTGAGTGGTGGTGGTATTTTCAACTGAATATGCTCTCGTCTGAAGAACACAAACACAAAGTAAATTAAGAGTTTACAAATCAAGCTCCACTCGAGATTCAATTGAAGATTTCATTCTTAACATCTATCATTAACATGTGCAGTATCTCACCAGATAGTTTTCAAAGCAGGGGACGACAGAGTACGCTCCTCGGATACGGGTGACTCCAGGATACAGCAGCCGGCCCATGTCTACGTACGCACAACCGTGGAAGGAGGTTTCTGACGGATGCTCATCAACTGTCTGTTACAAATCCTTCACATCAATCACTCAAGTCCCTAAATGCAACACAGGCTGAATTTAAGATTTCTGGACATTATTTTTAAAAACATTGCTTTCAAACCTGTTTGCCTTTTCGAGCCGAAGAAGCCGTCCTCATAACTTCTACTGGCCAGTGTCTGTTCTCAGTGATCCTCTGCCGCAGCCTGGCGTTAACATTCTATATTAGGGATGACTCCAGCCAATATTAAGGATCAGCATTGGTCTGATATTGGTCAACATTTCAGGATCGTGTCCCGTGTCATCATCAAACCTACAGTATTATTATGAGTTTCTTGTTTTTGTCTTTTCATTTTTTTCTTTTTCTTTTGGGCTTGCTGATTGGCTTAATTACATTACTTTTTACTCTTAAAAAACAGTGCTGTGCTCTGGCTGACCTGGCATTTCCTCCTGCGTCCATGAAGCAGCACATCTCTGTGTCCCAGCTCACTCTGTTCTTAGCGGTCTCGACATCATTACGGAACTGAGTGTGCTGTAAAATGGGGGGAAAAAAATTGTGCCACGTTAAGCCATGTTTGATGATTATTTCATAGAAACAATGTCTCTTGTCGTGTTATCAAGCCGTCAGTATCACGCTTTGACTCTAATGCAGTGCTTCTCAAAATGACATTAGTTCAATAAATCTGAAATGTAATTTGTTAAGGTTTTTGTTGGGGCGACGGGGGCACATGGGGCTTAAAATTGGCACCTGTTCAAAGTGGGGAATGACCAAAAACGTTTTAAGAACCACTGTTCTAATGAACCCTGAAGATGGCCTGAAGTCCATGATCGGTGACAGTAATGTCATGTACTTCAAAAAAAATACTGGCAGTTACCTCTGGGCCAGTCAGCTCACCATCTTCCAGCTCAATAGGTTCTTCATGGAAGAATAATCCGGGGAAGAAGTGGTTCTCTGGCACCAACGGAACTATATATGGTCTTTTCTTCTGTCTGGGCTTTTCCTCCTTCTGACCCCCGGGCTTCAGGTAGCCCTTACTGAAAACCATCAACTCATCGTCCTGGGAGGCATAAGAAATGCATATGACTCTAGTAGTAAGATGTTAAACCATTGGATAAGAGGGAAAAAAATACAAGTAAATATTTTTTTCCAATATTCTATTTCCTACTTCAGAGTCACCTGTGCCGTAGTTGGGATCTCCAGAGCAGCTGTGTAAGCGAAAGGGGAAGTGTTGGCAGACGCCTGCACTGTCCACGTCTCAGGGACAGAAAAGGCCGTCTCTATGACCACTGTCATCATGTTGGAGTTTTCTGCCTCGGCCAGCAACGAAGCTGATAAGTTGACGGACACATCCAGGGTGGCATGCTGATGGGAACAAATAACACCACAAACGGTTTATGTGTAAAATGAGATGTTGAAGTGATACCATATAATATATATATTTGATTTTGGAGACTGTACTGTGTGGTGTTACTAAACCTACCAGGAACTCTTTTGTGGAGCTGGATACTGGATAAACGGTGACAGTGGATGAAAAGCTACACTGACCTGAAGGCAGAAGAAGAGAGACGTCATTGATTCTGACAGAAAGTCTCTGCAGTTACCGAACAAATTCTGAGAGCCAGTCATCACCTTAAACCACAAAGTGCAGACATACATTTTTTTATTTAGTTTTTTAACTCAAACACATTTACCTTGCAGTGCTGGTACAAGATCAACCACAGCTTGGCCCAGCACGGCAGCCTTTGTGTCAGATTTTCTGGCTTTAGCGGCGACCTCTAAAATAGTCACTTTCCAACAACAAGAGAAAAACCACAACACAATGAACGATCCAGAGTTTGAATGCAGGCTGGTGAAAATCCTCAAACCATGAACAATTATATCGTCATGGATATTGAAGAGATGAGACGTGAAGATGTGAGAGGAGAGGAGAAAAGAGAGGGGAAGGACTGAAGTACTCTTTGAATATATGACACATATTTTACAGTATGTTTGACAGAACAACATCATCCACTCATCTCACATATAATGGGTTTGTTGGCCATGACCGTGAAGTCCTGTGTGCTTTCAGGACAAGGTACGATGCAGGAGAAGTTAAACTCAACGGTGGGCTCTGCAGGGTCCAGTCGTTTCCTCTCCGACTCCCCCAGCACAGTTCCATTGATCTCAGCCTTCACAAAACCCATGTGTCCAGCTTTCTTTCCATGCTAAAATGAAAATGTACATTTAAACATATATCACTTTTTCTTTCAGCTTTGTCCCTTTTTGTTTTTTTTAGGGGTTGCCACAGCGAATCATTGATTTCCATATATCCATATAGATACAGTGTGCCACCGTAAATTATCCAATTTCACTTAATTGGTCTTAAAATTATAATTTATTTATTACAAATATTTTTACTTTGTTATGCAATGTGTAGTAAAAGGCAGAACAATTAAATACTCTTCCACTAGATGGCAGCAGATGGCCATTAAAACTAAAAAAGACAATCGGAGCCTTTGAAGATCTTTGTCTTTTCTTCCATTCCTATAAGTATATCAGCATTATCTTTAACTAAACAGGCCGAGATGTATCACTGAGTTAATAGATAGTGAGTATATTTTAAAAATATTTTAAAAGATTACTACATGTCATTACATATACTTTTTTATTTTTGTCGGTGGGTGAATTTGGAAGATATTTACACTTACCAGATCTTACCAGAGATTATGTAGTTTTTAGGGGCAAAAACTAATTAATCAAATTAATCATATAAGATATAACACTCTTGCTGTTACGGCAGAAAATACAATTCTCACAAACTCTAGTTCATTTTATGTGTCAGCATTGAGAACCGGAAGGTCTTACCAGGTTGTTAGCACGGATAACAGTTAGCGTTATCACGGTCATCTCTTCTGCGTTGTCCGCAGCCTCCATCGTTTACAGAAATGAAAGGCAAACCTTCAGTTAAAAAAAAGTGTATATTTTCTGTCCGTCTTCAGTGTTTGCAGCAGATCGATAGTGTTCGTCTCTCTCGCCTTTACTTTTCTAACCTTTACATACATTTGTTACCCCCATTCTTACAAAGATAAAAGGTTTTTTATAAAAAAGATAAAAGATACAATAAATTTGTTGTTTTTTTCTCGAGTTAACTGCTGCTGTGACCCTCGTAGGGGAGTTCTGTTTCCATGACAATAGAGACTACTTGCTGGTGTGTTCATGTACAATGGGAAATATCTGGTATACCATCACAACGGAGAAAAACGTGTTTGAACTTGCAATTAATGCAGTCATGGCCGGTGTTCTACCTCTACACAGAACCCACAAAAAGTGATTAGTAAAGCCATAAGCCATACCATATAGTATACTGATCAAAACTTTAACAAATTGTTCGGTATTTTTTTAATGCATTTCATTTCTTTGAGACATTATCGGCTTTATGAATCATATTTGCCACATGTATAAATGTACATGGCATCACTAACAGGTTTTATTTAAAAGAAATGGGTTTTTCTATTACGGTTACATTGCTGAATAATAATAAACTTTGCTAGCAAGTTGAAAAACATTTGTACATTTATATAAACCTTAACATACTATGCAGTATGTCAAAGCATTGTCACATTATAAGCTACTAATGGATATCTTTGTCAATGAAGTCTTTTTCCAAAGCACTTTTACCATTTTAGCGGTCTGTAGCTTAGCAAAGTATTGCATTATGTAAATTGAAAACCCCTAATTCGGGGATAATAACAACATAACCCACTTTAGGTCTCTCTATGTCGAAACATCTAATATATTTATTTTAAATTATATTTTCTTGACCATCTTAAAGAAAGATAACGCTGTAAAAACAATAGGTGGCAGTAATGCGCTAAGAGGAGAGCTGTACGACAAATCTCCCGGAAACCGAAGAAGAAGATGTAAAGTTGACCTTCCGTGTTTCCTCTTCATACAAGCATGGCAGGACGGGCGCTGACCAAAGGTATTGTCAATATACATATATTAACAGACATGTGATGCAGTCTAATAATTGCTTGTTTATCCGGTTTCTTCATTGTGTTTTATTACGGTGTTCTTGCGAGGTTTCGATAAAAGGGCTAAACGATATTCTATATCTTTAGCTTAGCTAGGTCGCTAGTGTTACAGTCTTGTCGCTGCTCATTAAAAGTTAACGTTCTGACATTTGTTCCTCATGTTTAGGTTTTCTGTGGCTGCGACAGCTGCGGACTGCTACAGTCGGCTACTCATGTGGAGCACATCATTATTCCACAGCAGCGTCTGCTGAGCCACTTCAGCCCCCGAACGAAGATGTTACAGGTGAAGAAACCGCACCGAACACACACATACAGTTTTAACTGGTGACAGATTTCACCCAAACTATCTTTCTTTTTTTATGCAGAAAAGATACTGAATCTACCACTTGAGAACCCCGATTTCTTTCGTGTGTCTGAGCTGTTCTCTTTAAAAGACTTGTTCAACGCCAGGGTACATCTGGGCCATAAAAAGGGCTGCAGGCACAGGTCTGTACACACTTTTTGTACTTCAAAAAATGTAAATAATTGAGCCCATAATATAAATCTAATAACTACAGTTACCCTTTATTGCGCAAAGTAATCTCTTTGGTTTATTTTAATTAATAGAACTTTTAACACGTTGACAATTAACCTTTTTCCTTTAGCCTAAAATGAACCAACCATGAGCGTTTGAGGCTTGCTTACAGTGATCATACATTTGTAATAATATTAATGGTATTTAATTTTTGTACCATAGCCCAGCTACAAAAAAGTATTCATTCCAATACACTTTGTACCATAGCCCAGCTACAAAAAAGTGTTCATTCCAATACACTTATACAAAAAACAAAACCGAAAAAGTTAAATTCACTTTGAAAACAAAACCGAAAAAGTTAAATTCACATTGTTTTTGTTTATTTTTATTTATTTTTTTATTTAAATGTGCACCATTTAACAATTTCTCTGATGTTCTCCTTTTTGTGAACTGAGAGATCAGGTCTACCAGTCGCAAAAGATATTGTTTAATTATTTTCAGCTGAAATTAATCTCCAATTATGTAATGATTTATACAACTTGTGGTTTTCAGGCTCATGGAGCCGTACCTTTATGGATGTCGATTAGACCAGGACATAATTGACTTGGACCAGACCGTAGAGCACCTTCAGCTGGCTCTTAATTTCACTGCCCACATTGCCTATCGTGGTGGCATTATATTGTTTGTCAGCCGCCGGCGTCAGTTCGGTCACCTGGTGGAGAGCACTGCCATGAAATGTGGGGAATACGCCCATACACGATACTGGCAGGGGGGTCTCCTTACGAATGCTCCTGTCCAGTACGGCCCCAATGTTCGCCTTCCAGACCTCCTCATCTTCTTGTCTACTCTCAATAATGTGTTTCAACAACACGTGGGAATCAGAGATGCAGCAAAAATGAATATTCCCACAGTAGGTGTGGTGGACTCGAACTGTAACCCCAGTCTGATAACATACCCTATACCTGGGAATGATGACACCCCAGTTTCCGTGGAGCTGTACTGTCGTTTGTTTCAGATGACCATCAGACGTGCCAAAGATAAAAGGAGACAGATGGAGCTTCTTCACGGCCTGTCGAAACCCACCCCGGAAAGCTCATGACATTATTCGTTCTTGAGAATGAGACATTAAATACAGTATGTTATCAAAAAAGTTTGCTAATGTCTGCTTCTCTTCATCGTGCATACACTCAAAAATAATATAGAATAAGAGCTTCAGTTAATTGTATTAACTGTATTCAGTTAATCAGGAATTCTGTCTTCAAGCTAGTGTTTACCAACCTATTTTAAGCCACAGCACATATTTGACATTTGTGAAAAAATCCCAACCAATCTTTCACAATTTATTTACTCATTGTCCAACCTAGGCCTGTTTAGTTAAAATCAATGCTGATATGCGTGCAGGAATTGGAGAAAGCAAACGATCATCAACAGCTGAGTTGCTGCCTTTTTTCATATAGTTTTTATAGCATTTGGCTGCCACCTAGTGGGAGAGTGTTTAGTTCTGCCTCTCACATAAGGTAAATATATAACTTATTTGCAGTAAATTAGAATTGAAAATTAAAAAGACTTTTCAGACCAATTAAGTGAAATGAAATGATTTTTCACATTATTTCCCAACTCCGTTTCACAGTGGTTGGAAACTGCTTCAAGACATTGTCTTCTTTATGGTAACGTTGTTGTACATACTTTTGTACGTAGTTTATTGACATGATGATGTTTGTTTCTGATGTATATTAGCAGTTTGCTGTTAGGCCAGCCATACTTATTAATTATTTGCTGTTATTTCTGTTGATAATACAGAACACCTTTGTAAAATGTTGCTGCTGTATAAACACTTCTACACAGGCTAAGAACCACGACATGGAACAGAAATCTGTTTAACTGTAAACCCTACTTTTTTTGTCTTGTCGTGTGAAAGAAAACCAAGCAACATCTAATATAGATTATATAAAAGAAAAACACACATAAGCAAACATTAAATTTGACTGGATTCTCACTGAATGTTGTTTTGTTATTTCTGTTACCATCAAACCAGGACAACATTAGTTCACAATATTATGAAGACGTCTTGTTTACTGACATGAATTTTGTTTTATTAAAATCTGGCTTTCATGCTGCCCCACACATTGGAATTATTCAAATTGAAAGCGATAGTTTAGTTAGTTTGTCTCTGCAACAAAGAGAATAAGAAAGTAACAAGTACAAGTAGGTGACTTACGTAAGAGATCTTACAAATACTGAGCTGTGTTTGATCAGGTTGTTATCCTCAAAAATAACAATTTTATAATTAGAGATTTTTTTTTAACTCCATTTGATTTATTTTTCCAAAAAAGAAAAAAAAAACATCTGAAAGAAACTTTATAGTTGGCCTGAAACGTGACAAAAGAAGTAAGTTGAAACCTGGTGTGAACGACATCCACCCGGAATATAACAAAGAAGGACATTTACGATGAAAACACAGCTTAAATTGAGGATATGTGGCGAGGGGGGGGAGTGCGTTTATTTTGTGAATAGATACATTTCTGTCTTAGAGCTTTTTATTTCAAATTTTCTTCGTTTTTGAGCGCAGGACATTTATGTCGACCAAATAATAATAATAAAAATCTCCCAGCCCCCTCCCCTTTAAAGGAGCGCAGAGATGAGTCGCTGAGAAACCGAGGTTGTGGGATTGAACCACAATGATGTAGACGTTCATTTGACTGAACGGTCAGGACGCTACCTTCGCCTACATTGATCGGCTTTGCGACAGCGCAACGCTTTATATATATTATTTTTTTTAATTTTTATACTCTTGCTTATATTTTTTCAGCGCAACGCTTTATATATATATATATATTTTTTATTTTTTATTTTTATACTCTTGCTTATATTTTTGGGGGCTCAAATCAGAATTTGCCAAATTTCAAGGACGCACCGTGGATCCATTTTCCCTGGCAAATGATTCGCGTTTTCTTCTAAAAATGGTGCTGAAAACGTCGTATAGAGAAGAGACAATCCTTTGTGTCGACTTGTTTTTAACAAACACGGTGGGGTTGATTTTCCGCGTGGGTTTTAGTTGTGATCCGGGGTTTTTTCTGTAATGATGTGATCGGACGCAGATTCGTACTGCACTCTCGCTGCGCTGCTGTCCAACCGAGCCGCTCATGATGCCCAGAGCCGTGAGGAGACTGGTCCATTTGGTGCTGTTCTGCCCACTGTCCAAAGGCCTGCAGGTATACAGACTATTTATACTGTGCATTAGAAATCATTAATGATGTCACTGTCGGCCCTCGGAGGGGTCCCGGACCACCTGCGTCCATGTACACCAGTCCGCATGCGTCACAAAATGTCGAGAGTGTGAAAGACGTGTGATGATTAGGAGAGTGAACACAACACAACACATCAGCTGTGCTGGTTGGACACGGTCCAGTCCTCACAGTTATTATTGTTGTTACAGGCCTCAGTGAAGGTAACAGATTATGATGCATTTAAATTAAACTGTAGATCTTAGTAAACAATCGAAGTACTCTGTTGTATTTATTAGTACATTTTGTGGGGTTCAGTTTGTTGCATTTAGAAACACCCAGTGCTGAGGCTAATAATTTATTAACACACATACCTAAATGCAGTGAAAACTGTCTTTATTCAGAATTAATTGTCATTACCTTTGAGTAACAACTCTTTCTTTCCTCCCAAAGAGTCGCCTACCGGCCATCAAGGTGAAGTACCTGCTCCTGGTCTGGCTGGGTATCCTCATCACCAGCTGGGTCCTTTACATGCAGTATGCCTCGTACTCTGAACTCTGCCGTGGTCACGTCTGCCATATGATTATTGTGAGTATGGTAAAACTGCAGTATGAGAGTCGCAAGACTAATGATTATGTATAAATGCTGGACATACAACGAATAACTAGGATTCTGGTTAATTAGACAGTATTTTTAGACACAAAAGAATTAGATATAATGGCCAATTTTTCAGGGATTTTAATTTAAATGTTTGGTACAGACCAGGGTTTTTCAACCTTGGGGTATTTCATTTTAAAAAGCTGATAAAAATAATTTCAACTTATTATTATTCTTTTTAGAAGTATGATTAAAAACACCACAATCTTAATTGAGGATAAAATATAAAATTTAAAATATAGCATTTAAAATACGTATCTGAGCTGGTGTATCTTGATTGAGGGCAGAAAAAAAAAAGTCAGAGAATCCTCCAGAAATTTAAGTGTATTTGACCAGGTTTGTCTTTAGAGGCTGACATAAGCCTTGAGTGATATAGAGTATTACAGTATTAGATCACAACAGAGTCAACAAAGGGCTGCAGCATTACTGTCTTTACCAGAGGGTGAAGAAACGGTTGTGGACATTTGTCAGTTTTGTTGTTTTGTTCTGTATAGAGCCTTCACAGCCCACACTGTAACATCACCAACCTCCTGCTGTGTCCAGCTGTTTTCAAAGACTCCAGCTGCTGTGAACACAGTTTCAATCAACATTTGTGACACTGAGGAACATTACATTTACCATGGCTGGTTCACTGAAAGATTTGAATTCTGTGATTGTTTGAACTGGTTGCATAACTGTATTGGAGGACTGCTCTATGTCAGTGCACTCCATTTTGCAGGTTCAATTATCAGGATAAAACCAAAGCCGGTGGAGGACGTGTGCTGTGTCTGGGGTTTTGATTGCAGAAATGAACGTACGTAGTGTAGGTCATACACCAAACAGGTGACCTACATGAGTGTGAGCACATCGTAACATGGGAATGGGTAGTGACATTTGATCACATGTGAAAGAGCTTAAGGGTAGAGTTGTACATTGTTGTCCTGGTTTCTGCTAAAAAGTGTTGTTTTTGGGGCAGGGCCACATGAGCTGGATCCTTGTTCCAGGCTGAGCTTATGAGAGTTGTGTTGCTGTTGCAATAATATAACAATAATAACATTAAAATTACACTAATGGACTTTGGAAACATTGCATATAAACTATGTGAATATTAACAATTTCCTTGTTAACAGTTTCCTAACAGTCTCTTTGATGTATCATTTGTATCTTTGTGCCATTATTTGCAGACAGTGAAGATTAAAAAAACAATGATGGAGGTAACACTAACCTGTGTTAAACTGTATGTAACATTTCTAAATGTGTCTTACAGTGTGATCACTACAGAAGGGGAATCATATCAGGCTCATCTTGCAAGGCACTGTGTGATCAAAGGACTCTGATCCAGAAGCACTGCATGTCCACATCCAGTACACACCAGGTACAGACAAAAACACACAAACAGCTGAGTGTTGACACACTAAAAAGGATGTGCAGAGTTATGATAATGAGGTTTTTCACAACACGATGTTTATGATATTCATATTCATCCTGTCAGCTGGAAACATCCCGTTTTTACGTTGAACAACTTTCAATGAATACCTAGAAAAGGAATAACATTTATAATATATAATAATATTCTCAATGGCATAAAAATGTCTTCAATCCGTCTAGGAATGATTTTTTTATATACGCATAGAGAATTAAGTGATACCCGTGCAGTTAAAGGCAGATTAACTTAAATTACTATTTATTTACTATTAATTACTACTATTACCATGTATTTACTATTTGTTATTTAAGCCTAGTAATGAGTTATTAATGATTTTGGAATCAATAATATATTAATATTAAGTGTTATAATTATAATTAAAATGATTAATTTACCTAAAACCACACAAACTGAAGAAAAATAAGAGCTTTTTCACAATAATAAATATTAATATATTTTGTTCTATGACCACAATAATAAATATTAATATATTTTGTCACTTTGTCACCATGGTCTTGTGTTGATATATATTCTCTGTAGTTTTAAAGGTTTTCATAAAGATTATTAAAAAGTAGTTCAATGCCTGCAGTGATGAATGAAAGAATAGCTTGGATTACACTCAGTATGGGACTGAATCCAAATGACAATGATACTTGTGTGTCTGTTGTTTTTTTTTTTTACACATTACGCAAAAAAAAGACATTTGACATCAGTTCTCACATTTCTATGTACAAAGGTTTACCGTGGACTGTGGAAGGAGATTCCTGTTGTGATCAAGTGTAGCGTTAAAGATCCAGTTAGGATTGACGGCGCTCCGGATTCAGTGCTGCGACAGGAGATCAGTTTATTTGACAAACCCACTCGTGGAACCTCGATGGATGAGTTCAAGGAGATGATGCATAGTTATCTTAAGGTTGTTGTTGTTTTTTTTTCCAGCACTAACTATTGTTTATATATAGTGTGATATAGTATAATCTTAGATGGATGCATAGTTATCTTAAGGTTGTTGTTTTTTTTTCAGCACAAACTATTGTTTATATATAGTGAGATCTGTAATCTTGGATAATTTATTTTTGTGTCAAACCCATAACCAACCGCTTTTCATTCTCCCCCCCACAGACCAACCTTGGTGAGCAGCCGTCCTTGACCACCATGGTGGACAGAGTTATTGCCCTTGCTGATGTCAATCAGGACAGCAAAGTGTCTTTAGCAGAGGCCAAGTCTATCTGGGCTCTGCTCCACATCAATGAGTTTCTCCTGATGGTGGCGCTGCAAGAAAAGGAGCACACACCCAAGTTGTTGGGCTTCTGTGGCGACTTGTATGTCACAGAGCGTGTTGGCCATAGCTCCCTCTACAGGCTAGAAGTGCCTCAGTACCTGCAGGCTCTGGTCCCAGAGGCTCTGACCTCCAGTCTCAATCACTGGCTTGCTCCGGCTTGGCCTCGCAGAGCCCGCATAACCATCGGCCTGCTGGAGTTTGTGGAAGAGGTCTTCCACGGCTCCTACGGGAGTTTCCTTATATGTGATGCCAGTCCTCTTCACGTGGGCTACAACGCCAAATATGACTGCAAGATGGTCAACCTGCACAGCGTGGCCTCCGAGGCGGTCGTACGGGACTTTCTAAAGGGACGCAGGTGTGAGACTAACGCCGACTGCACATACGGCCGGGACTGCACGGCAACTTGCGACCGACTGATGAAGCAGTGCAACACTGAGGTCGTGCAGCCCAATCTCGCAAAAGTGTGCATGCTGTTGCAGGATTATCTGCTCTTCGGAGCCCCCTCAGACCTACGTGGGGATCTAGAAAAGCAGCTCCGCACCTGTGTGACTCTGAGCGGTCTGGCCAGCCAGATGGAGGTTCATCACTCACTGGTCTTGAACAACCTGAAGACACTGCTGTGGAAGAAGATTTCCAACACACAGTACTCATGAAACAGCCTGCCATAATATGAACGATGTAGGTTTACAGACGCATCTCATCACAAGAACCTGAAGAGTTTGTTGCCAAATGTTTCGGAAGGTGTTCGTTATTATTGTACATATATATTAATATATTTTCTCTTGCCATTGACTATAAGTAACAGGAAGCTGTGAATTAATGAAAATGTGTTATAATCAACAGAGGAGTTTGACTTATTCTCTTGAATTGCCCATTAAAGCTCCTGATTTTGTTTCCCAACACATTATTTTCTCGTGTGTTTAGAAATCTCAGGGCGTTGTCTATAACTATATCTGAAGGAATACAATAAAAACTGTAACTATAGAATTTAGTGTTTACAGAAACTCCTATCTGTCACTTACTATACGGGAAGAGATTTATCTGAGTGAGAAATGTAATATTTTTGGTGCCAACATCAAGCAGTGGATCAATAAAGTTTTGTAATAATAAACAGATTACACTGATTAAGATTGTGTTTTTCGCATTGGAGGTTAATGTTCACAACCTGAGTTCGCATTCAGTCAGATCTCTATTTCAGTTATTTATTTAAATTACTGATTGTGCATCATGTTTAAGAAATGTTTAACACAGACATGTCGAAACCCCCGGCCCTGGTGTTCTGCAATGGCCTCTGGTGTAGGGGTAAAAAAAATGCCTGATGTTCTGTGAACTTTTTACATCACAGTTTGGTAAGTTGATTGTAAATTATCAACACATTTTGAATCATGAAACCAGTTTAAATGTTATGTTTAACTTGCAAAAAGGTTTCATCGTGTATTTCTGCAAAAAGCAACCTCCCCCAAGGGTAGGCTAGGGTAAGCTAGTTATGAAATAAGAATGATAAGCCCAAGGGTAGGCTAGGGTAAGCTAGTTGTTAAATGCCAAACTCTGTTGCCAGCTATGAAATCTAACCTCAACAATACCAATAGGAGGAGCCAAAGTTCTGTTTCTACTACGTCTACCGTACTGTATTTTGAGAATTATTGCTTTATTACTTTTGTAGTTCTTAATCATTTTATAATGATCTAAGTACATTTTGCAAACCGTAATACTTTTACTGTATTCAGTCTACCTACTGACTGCAAGGATTTCATTGGAGCGACATATAAACTATTGAATCTAAAATCGATCTAGTTATGAAACAGCTCCTGGAATCACAGTCAAGTTAATTTTTTTATGTTACAAAATGTTCCATTTGAAAAAAAAACCCACACATTTTATAAACACTTAAAACTATGTTTCATCTGTATCAATGTTCTAGTGTCAAAGGTAAATAATAGAAAAAAAAATCAAAGTTACGAGGGCCCTGAAAGGCAACACCAGCTGAGTTTGAGGCTGGGAGATGATGTGCTACGGCTGCTACTGACGATAAACACACACACCCCCTGCGGACTGACGGAGGAAGGAGGATGTAGGCTTCTAAACCACAATACACTCCGTTAGAAAGGTGCATAACGGCGTTCTTAAGGTAAAGTCTGTCATGAGTTTAAAGACCAGCGACTCTGTAAACTCAAAAACATTTGTTAGCGTAATACATTTGAACATGCTAGCGTCAGTGTTAGCTCTTTTTCACAGCAGCTAGCACCTGTGTGGGCTACAAGTCCTGTACACTGAGGCTCGGTGAAGGCAGTGCCAGCTCGAATTTGTCAATAACCCATGGTCAATGGCTTTTTAACTTGCTGTTGAATAGTGTTAGAGCCTGTTTAGTGCGAAATGTCGAAAGATGTAATATTGCAGACCACCGGCGTTTGTCCATTCAGTTAGCTACTTAAGCTAGAAATGCTCACAACACCGCTTCAGCATAGGGTTACCCTGCCTGAGTTGTATTGCTGCACGCTGTGGTACTATTGTGGCCTGCCTTGCACACTCACTCGTAGTACCGGTGCATTATGAGTGATCACTATGTAAAAGTCAAGGTGCAACTTGAGCAAATGAAAACACTGGGCGGGAATGGAGGAAAGGATGGTAATGGGGAGGATGCTGAGGAGCAGCAGCTGGCTGTGTCGTCGTCTTCCCCTGCTTCAGTTTCACCAGACCCATCCAGCACCACCATATTTGACAAAGATGAACCCGGGGACTCCATCACTTCCAAACACAAAGGCAAAGTTCATAGTAGACAGGGGAAAGATGACAAAAACTCTTCCAATAAACCCCCCGACCTGTCATCACATGGACCTGTGTCTGTGAAGAACCAGAACAGACTGGAGCATGGACGGACCCTTCACATCAGAGGAACCGGGAAGATACTGCAGGCCAAGTCCCAGACTAATAGGGACTATGTGACCATCTGTGATGATGGATTCAAAGTGACGAGAAAGAGAAGACCAGTGACAGTGGATACATCCAAAGCCAAAACCTCTTTGGAGGCCCTGAAGATCAGCATTAAACTGTTGAAGTGGAAAGAGGTGAGCTTTAAAAAACATTCTTATTATCCTGTTTTTTTATCTGCCTTAAAAAACAACAACATTTTTTTACTGGCTTGGATTTAGAAGCATGGTAGCTTGTGTTAGTGTACACGTTAAAATTATTTAATAGTTGATTAATAGAATGTGTGTCCATAACCTTCAACTAAATAATTAATACAACACAGTATCTTGGTGCACATTTTACATTTAGGTATTTTTTCTCCAACATCCATGCTGGAAAGCACTTCTAACAGCAGAAAGGTCACAGGTCTCAGATTGAGCAGATGACCTTTCTGTGTTTTAATGATGTGTCTAGTTATAATTGGCTCAATGTTCATTTACAAAACTACTATACAGTACAAGTATAGTAGGTTATAGTAGTATATAAGTATTTTGCTACTACTGACATTTCCTTAAGATTTCCATTTTCCACATTATAATGAATTACACATAAATATTCTGAACCATAGGACACATGCCCTGCACTGCTTTAACCAAATATAATGTTTTCTGGCCACAACAGTGCTTTGGTTAAAATGTCAACGCTTATTAACTTTACTGAATTTTAATGATGTGTTATTAAAACCTTATTAAATATCTATATAATTTATGACACATCATTATTTGTTTTGGCCACAGATTGCAAAAGCTTTTCCTAAATGTTGATGCTTTTGATTAAACCTGTCATCAATGTACAAGGTAAATCCTTATTGGTACTAAATAATTAAATGACATGATCTTTACCCCATCCAAAAACTAGTTTATTGTGCTAAAAGTACTTTTAAGTGGATAATCAAAAAAGTTTTAAAGGATCTATGAGATGACAAGTTAATCTAGTGCTTCATGCTCTGAGCCAAAAACACCATCTGCTCATTTTGAATGTGAGGCAATTAATACCTACTATCAGCCATTATTAATGTGGCCTTCATTATGTATGAGAAGTAAAGATAGGAAAATACCACAAGACACGTGAAATAAATACTCTACTTTTCATTGGTGACCACGGGCTGACATTACACCTTTCAATGTCTGGTAACAGTAGACAGATAGACTTTACATCACACCACAGTTTGTTTACTGAACCCACTGCCATCACATTCAAGGACACTGTAGATCCCCTGTCATTCTGACGGGTCTGTCCACGACCCATGGCTGGTTAGAACTTCAGCAGTTTTTGTTTAAATTGTTTGACAGATTATTCAGATTATTTTATTTATTCGATTTTTAATTACGTAACAAAGACAGGCCAGTCCAGGGCAGCAGTGAGTCAGAAAAAAAAATCCCTGAAATTAAAATAAACTCCGTCCTTGAAGGACTAAAATTGAGGTTCCTTACAAATGTTCTGTCCATTTTTGGAACAGAAAAATAATATACTAAATCAATACCTGCTGCAAAGCTTCCGTTCAAGACTGTTGTCCTTTTCATTCAGCATCAACTGCAGTGTTTGTTGTCAGGCAGCATCATGCTATTTTACATATGCTAACTTATCACTGACTAATCCTGACAAGTAAAAAAAAAAAATTCTAAAAACCTAGAATCAACTGGCCTGTGTCCTCAATCTGACGTAATCTGAAAACTAAGGACCACATTATCAACACCATTCATGTATGTATAGCTTTTCCAAGTGTCTTTTTTCAATTTTTTATGTCTAAAATGTTTTCTACTTTCATGTTTTTGTGCCTCTAGTTCCCTCTGGGGAGAAGAGCGCCCTGTGACATTTACTGGCACGGTGTCTCCTTCCACGATAGTGAAAACATTGTCTCAGGACAGGTGAACAAGTTCCCAGGTACGTCTCAACCCTCCTCACTTTATTAATGTGTGTTCAGCTGTGGTTGCCTGTGAATAGAGGGCGAGAATGTGTGTACTTTTTTTTTTTTTTTTTTTAGACCATCAACTACAGGAGGGATTTAGTTAAAGCCTTACTGAGCCTCATTAGCCCTCGCTAAGCCTTTCACGCCATGTCAATAACCATTGAAGACTCCCTAGATTATTAAATTCCTAGGAATCATCCCATGCCTTCCTCTCATCTTCCACTGTATTCTACCTTTTTTATTCCCTGACAAACTCTATTTACTTTTTCAACACCAAAACACTTCAAACAGGAAGCAGTATTCAGTACCAATCTGCTCACATTAAAATAAAAGCTTCATGTCACTGTATCCCTGCTTTTATTTTGCACTTCTTTAATGTTGTTCTGACGTTACAGGAATGATCGAAATGCTGAGGAAAATCAATCTTAGTCGTGCAATGAGGACAGTGCAGGAGTTGTTCCCTGAGGAATATGACTTCTATCCACGCTCTTGGATCCTGCCTGAGGAGTACCAGCAGTTCTCCACTCAGGTATTGTTGTGTATCCCGAAACAAGTAACCCATGCATTGTTTGTTTAAAAAGTCAGTTAAACTTCAATGACATTAAAAATGACATTATGAAGATTTCTCTGTGTGTCCCCCCCCCGCCCCCCATGACATTATGAAGATTTCTCTGTGTGTTTTCCCCCTACCTTTACCAGCAAGAGAATGTGTATTCAGGAAATTAAAATAAGTTTATAAATCTTACATATACCATGTATTTAACTGTATATGCTCATGTATGTCAACATTGATGGACCGATTTCATATAATGAACAAAAACAAATATGTGGCTGTAACTCATTGTACATATTTGTGCTTAATTAAAATGAAGAGCTGAAAAAAACCTTTGTTGCATTTCATGTCGCTGTTACAAATCGCGCCCAGCAGGGTGCACCAGAGTATTAGAAATGTAATCCCAGAAACTCTCCTTGTTTGTTAGGGAACAGAGGCTTAAAACCATAAATGGTTAGGTTCAGCTTTGTACAGTTAGTGTTTGTGATATTAATAAAAAATAAAATGTTCAGCTTTGTACAGTTAGTGTTTGTGTGATATTAATAAAAAAATAAAAAAAAAGAATAGTCAATTATTAAGGTATACATTTTAACGGTGCCTTATAGTTTGTGGTAGTTTTCAGATTTTCCAAATTTTTCTTTTTTAGTTTGCAACAGCAATCAACGTAGTGACAGAAATGCACCCATGTTGTCATAGCAACACTGTTTTAAAATTGTCTTAATTAAAAATATGGAATTTGTAACTCAGCTTCTACTCTCTACTCTGTGTCCATCACTCCTCCGATGTAGAGTCGCATGACAAAGGAGAAAGATCCCTCTGCGAATCACACCTTTATTGTGAAGCCTGATGGTGGTTCTCAAGGGGGCAGGGCGGGTCCGCAGGCCAAACAAGGTGTAGTCCAGGAGTACATCCAGAAACCATTACTCATAGACAAGCTGAAGTTTGACATCCGCCTCTACGTCCTCATCAAATCACTGGAGCCATTGGAGATCTACATTGCCAAGGAAGGTCTCACACGGTTTTGCACAGAGCCTTACCAGGTAGCCATAACTGTGCTGCTGCTGCTGCTGCTGGACGACTACATTTGTATTATTAGAACAAAATAATACTCTAAGTTATTATTATTATTATCTAACGTTATTATTTTGTTCTACTCTGTTTGTGTAGGAGCCAAGCCAGAAGAATCTCAGCCACGTCTTTATGCACCTGACAAATTACTCCCTCAATGTCCACAGTGGGAACTTCATCCACTCAGACAGCCAAAACACAGGGAGTAAGCGCACACTCTCCAGCGTCCTCTACAGGCTGGCAGTCAAAGGAGTGGACATCAAAAAGGTGTGGTCGGACATCATCGCCCTCGTCATCAAAACCGTCATTGCCGTGATGCCTGAACTTAAAGTCTATTACCAGGCGGAAATTCCACCTGGTAAACCAGGACCCACTTGTTTCCAGGTAGGTACCACATTCAAGTAATGGCAAAAGTCAAAATCATGTATGGAAAGTGCTGTGATCCAGTGGTTCTCAAACTATTGGCTGCGTACCTCTGGTGGTACTTTGTCTCCCCCTAGTGGTTAACATAGGACAAACAAGCACATTTCTAACTGAGAACAAAATCTCTTCTGAATCAGTGCTGTTGTATTTTAATGTTGCTCATACTGTTGATACTTGGCCAGACAACTATTTTCATACATATACTGTATATAATATATAAAATATAATAAATGTATTATTAATGACTTTATTTACAGTCAGCTGAACATTTACCAACTCTTGTTCTCTGTCACAGATATTAGGATTTGACATCCTGCTGATGAAGAACCTGAAGCCAATTTTGCTGGAGGTGAACTCCAGCCCCAGTATGAGAATTGAACATGAAAAAGAGGTAAAAGGAAGTTTTGTGGAGTTACAGAACAAACATGAACTACTATGCTCAGTATCAGCACTGTGTGAATATCCTCGTTTGCTCTAGATTACACCAGGGGTGTTTGAATATGTGCCCAGTCCGGTGGACGAAGAGGTGAAGGTTGGTGTGATCAGGGACACTCTGAGACTGATGGATCCCAGCCGCAAGAAACAGTCAGTGTAAACACACACACTCGTGCACACATACAGTATGTACAGTACAAACTGCCCATCCGTCCTCACAGCCCAGCTCTGTACCCTTCAACAACTCTGTCTATAATCCTGTTAAATGGAAAATTAAATTCAGTTGGGCCTTGGTGCAAATTCACACTTTACTGTTCAAGTCTGGTGGCTCAGTCTCTGTGACAGCCTGGCCTTGTAAGGTGTCTGGCATTAATTTATCTGCACTGCTAGGATCAAGACTTGTTTCCTCTCTTTTTTTCTCTTTCTGTGAATAGAGGATTTATTTGTTCCTATTTGTCTTCCTATTTATAGTCATCATTCAACACTTTCATATATTGTTTTATTCTGTTCATATTCTTTTCATCAGTTTTCCATTCACACTTAATTATCTTCTACATTTTGTACTCGCCTACTCTCCTTATCTTCTACATTTTGTACTCGCCTACGAGTTATTCAGAGATTTATTTCCAGGATAATACCTGCTTACTCTTATATTCACGAGGTGCAACAAATTGGTTTAATCCACCTGTAATATCTTTAATCCTTCAGCATGGCTGCATTTTCATCTGCCTTCAGTCAGCAGAATGGCACTGTGTGTTTGTAAATGACTTTATTACACAAGCAGATTGAACAAATATAAACGAAAATATTTTTAAAATAATTCCTATATTCGTCTAGAATTTGTCAGATTTTATTAATATTATTACACAAGCAGATTGAACAAATATGAACGAAAATATATTTAAAATAATTCCTATATTCGTACAAGTCTAGAATTTGTCAGATTTTATTAATGACAGTATGTCAATGTTTGGTTAGGCTTTGGCATTATATCATTCTTTTCTCAAAACTGAAAGGAATCTGAAATAAAAAAATGACTTCAGTCTTTGTGTGAATAAAGAAATGTTTATATTCAAGTAGAAAAAATGTGGTGAAAAGAATTTGCTTTGGTCTTTTTTAAATTAATTTTTAAAAGACTTCATTTTCTCTTAGAACTTCTTGACTTAATTGTTCACCACTTTGAGTCCTAAGACTGTTTGCCAGTGTAAATTAAACCCAGTAGGTGGCAGTAGTGTAACTCAGAGGATTCAGACCTGAGAAGCAAGGTTTGATTTGGGGATATTAATATTTCTACCATTTGGATTAGTCACTGATGAAAACAGGTGTGAAACTCATACGTGTACTTATGTTGTTATTTGTTTTGCTCTTTAGTGATATAAAATAACCTCAATTTTAGGCATGTTGAGTCATCACGATTAATCAAGATTGACTGTGATTAATCCACAGCTAAATCAGACAATAATAACAAATACATTTAACATATAAAAGATCATATTTGCTTGTGTTCTAAAGTGTTACTGTGTGTCCTCTGTACGATGTAGCTAAGCTTTACGTGGGTCAAAGAGTTAACATTCAGGTTAAGTTGTGATCCATCCAGAAAAGCTTCCTGTCCTCAGTGTAGTGTTGTGTTTGTGGGAGGGTGTGATATTCCAATTATGTCCAGACTAACTAGTGTCACTGCCAGTTTATTAAATTAGTCCCTAAAATTGGATATGCTCTGAAAAATATAATCATTATTGCAGCCACTGACACTGGCCTCTGAGGGGCGACTCATTAATCACTGACATTTACTGTACACTTGGACTGCCTGTGTTAACATGGGCACAGAGGCCCATGTAGTGTGCATGTGTGTTTGTCTGATGGATGTGCTCACGTGTGTCTGTGACGTCAAGTGCTTAATTGGATTTTACCCGTTTTAAATTTTATCAACTCGAGTGGAAAAACGAGGTTGTGCGTGTGACGACGCGGGGCTGCGGACTCCAGCGGTGATGCAAGAGTGTCTGAGTAATGGATAACTGATGTAGGAGACAAATGAGGCTGATGAAGAGGAATGAGGAAAGGACTTGAGAACTGGGTCGCACTTTAGAACAAGAAGGTCTTTAATGGGGTATCTTAAGGAGTTTTATCATCACTATAAATTCATGGGTCATGTCTTCTCACTGAAATATAAATCAATGGGAACTCAATGTCCTATCATTATCATAATATGAAGAAGATTTACTGAAGAATCTTTGGACTCACAAGGCACTAACTAAACATCCCCATTGCTGTTAGGGACCCTCAGGTGGGTCGCAAGAGTTTTTGTGTTTTTTTAGGGTTATTGCTGTTAGGGACCCTCAGGTGGGTCATGAGAGTTTTTGTGTTTTTTTGGGTCGTCTCCATTATGTTTTCCAGGAGTTTACGAATAATTTCTATTGACTTGTGTCGCGAACGTTTGTGACTTTTAAAATATGGGTCCCCAGAAAAAATCTGTCTATAACATATGAATACATGTTTCTGCAATTGATTAATATTTATTGAAGTTCCAAATATTGCTCTGTGTAATAAAAAAAATAATTTATCAAGTTAAAAAACTCAGCAACATGGACTTTATTATCATATATCAACATAAACATGGACTTTATTATCATATATCAATATAATATATCAATCGAACACTTTCTAAGCTCCTGCGTGCCGCACAAATTGACTTGGCTGACTGCATTTGGCCTGCGGGCCATGAGTTTGACACACATGGTTTAAAGCAGTGGTTTCCAAACTTATTCTGCAGCGCCACCTTTTGTTGGGAAGTCTACTGTCACCTACGTCTGTTGCCTTCTGTAGGTTGGACAGCTCATCCAGTCTGTGGTGGGTTCAGCGGCACAGTTTGTCTCTCTCTCTCTCTCTCTCTCTGTGTGTGTGTGTGTGTGTGTGAGTCTCTTCAGTCAGTTTTGTCACTGAAAAATCAATTCAGACCATTCTGTTGGTGTGTACTCCAAGTTTATAAACCTGTAGAGACTGAGCGTTGGTGTGTGCCCAGCTCTGGTTGTTTGTTGGTTTTGTTTTTGCTCCAAGACAAACGTGGGTGTTTGTGATCGTATGTCCTCTCACTTATTCATAAATGTACTCCCAGACTTGTAACCACAGAGTTCTGTGATGAATTGTCTGGAGTTCTGTTGTTGTTGTGTTGACAGAACCCAGTGAGCAGACGGGTCCTTGTGTCGTTTCTTCTTTGTATATAAACTGTCTGAGTGCTGCTTGGTGAAAGGCGTATTCTGATTTCTGTGTCTGACGCTGTGCACAGACGTTTGAATCTGACATGTGGGCACTCTGAAGCGTGGGCAGCAGTTTTGAAAGGCCTTTATTAGACAGAGGTGCAAAAATAGCCAGGTAATGACAGATTAGGCAGCGACTTCCTCACATGCCCTCAGACGACGTTCGTCACCAACTCTGAGAACGTGTTCTCAATAACCTGCCATTCTTCAACTTTTACCCTCTCTCACTTTGCCTGCATCGGTTTATTCTCTGTTTATAGACATTCACTTCACTGTCTCGCTCTGGGCTTCTGTTGGAGACGTGTCTTTTTTAAGCCTCGGCTGTCTCGTCTAAAAAGAAAAGTGTGGGCAGTGTCCTGGCTGAGGAGGGAATGATTGATTCCATTAAACATTCAGCAGCGTGCTCTCAGTGCCATTCACACTCTTCATTAATTCATGGAAAGAAGCACTGTCTAATATTAGTCAGCAGAAATGCATGCCCTTGATATTATATTACCTTTGTGTGTGTGTGTGTGTGTTTTTTTGCTGCTTATGCACATTAATGACAGGAAGTATCCTGAAAAGCACCCTGCTCCTGCCCCAGTGTGCTGCTCACTTTGGTTGATGAAACTGCTTAGCGTCCAATGATGGGAATCAGCTGAGGTCACAGTGACTCTATCATATTAATAAGAAAGATAAGGCTGTAATTAGTTGAGCCGTTCACTAACAGGAGCAGCCCATGACTCCCAATGACTCCCAGACAAAGTGCAGCGTGTTCACACCCACACACAGTCCTGAATGTACATTAGCTCTCATTCAGTTTTTATGAGAAATCCAAAATCCACCAGGGCTGCACCACGGCGGCTCGAGAGACTTCGACAGAAAAGTTATTTCTCGCAAATCCACCAGGGCTGCACCACGGCGGCTGGTGCCGAGAGGCCGACTTCGACAGAAAAGTTATTTCTCGCGTGAATAGTGGAAGATAAATAAATAGGAGTGAGATTGACCTCCGATGGTGTTAATACGTTTCTTATTTATTTACATAATGTCCCATTTTTATTCATGTCACTGAGTGTTACTGTATTTTCTCATTTGTGTTTGGTTTGGATTGTTTTCTAACTTTGATTTAGTTTTGAAGCAATAGCTGTGAGAATGTGAGGGGGAAACTGCAGAAAAATGTTTGACAACCAAAAGTTTCATTGGAAACATTTGTCTTACCATTCAGGATTTTGTAGAAACATGAAACTGTAAATGAGAGGATGAGGAATGTCCTGTAGGAAATGCAGCTGAAGCAGAAAGACAAAACAGCAAAAAGCAAAATGTTTAGCGAACTGGCAAAAACAAGTTACGTGTTACTGAAAATGTCCTGTAAAAGAGAGGTTTTGTGATGCAATAAGTGGAAATAGTTACAGTTTCTGATGCCTGTCCAGTTCATTCCTTCAGGGAAAGGACACAGGGAAAAAAATAAATAAAAAAGATCATTTTAGCATTTTACAGCATTCAAGGCACTTTATAATTAAACATTTTTCTTCACAAGACATTTCAATATTCTTCCTGTTTTATTAAATGTAACAGAGGTTTTGGTAAATTCAGTTGTACTGCAGTTTTAGGGGTGTATTTGGCAGGACTCTGGCATCAGTATATCATGATATACTGCGATATTATATGCACGACGATGTGTTTTTTTAAGCAATTTAATTCTAGTAAAACTGTGAGCAAAGTAAATACACAATGCTGTTATTTGTTTAACATCAGGTTAAAAGGCAAAATAAAACAAACCCATGCCATGAATATTTGCATGTTAATTGTTAACCAAACAAATATAGGTTGATACAGTTTTTTCGCTGACAGTCCATGTGGCAGAGTTACCGTCCAGGTTTAAAGACAAGCACAGGTTTGCACTGACTAATGCCTGGATACTGATTAAAACAACTGGAGACAACTGACTGTGTTTCTACAGTCATCACCTCACTGTGCACGCAACCAACTGCAGCCAAGGTGACCTTCACACCTAAGCTCTGTGTTACTTTCAATTGAAGATCTGACGTCTTAAAGGCCACCACTCCTGTGCCTCTGTGTCGTGGTACTGAGGCGGCAGCAGACTGTCAGTGAGAATACTGATTTAAAAGGAAATAAAATTGTATTTTATTGAGATTGTAAAAACTGTAAGTGCTAAAAAACACTATTGCAGTTTACACTCCATCATTGTTTCAGAAATCAGGTGTGTGTATAGAACAGGGAGACTCTGTTTATTCAACAATGACTACAGTGAATTACAGCAGTCAAACAATTATGGTTTTATGAATAATCACAGTAAAAAAATCAGGATAAAAAAAAATCTGAGTCTGGCTGGTACAGAAAGACAAATAACAGCAGGTAGATAAATGTGTTTCACGTGTTTCGTTTGTGACTAATCCAAATTATTAATGCAGAAAAAAGTGAATAAAATATGCAAATATAACTTAAAATTTAGCTTTATAGAGTTGGAGCACTGCCTTCATGGTGTGATGCGTCTTTCCTGGTGGACCTGGCCTAGTAGTCTCTACATCTACTTGTCTAGTGCTCGTGTCTGCCTTTGAAGAAGCAACGCAGTCAAATTCAATTCATATTTTTCTATCAATCATTTTTCTCTCCTTCTAACAACAGATCCCAAACAAAAGCAGGGGGCTGTGAACAGAAGGAGGAGATTCCCAAAGAGGGGGAGAAACTTGAGAGGAGTTTGGATGAAGGCACTCTGCCCTCACTGTGTCTGAAGCAGGTTTACCCCAAATACAGCAAACAGTTCAACTACCTCCGGCTGCTGGAGCGGATCGCCTCTCTGTTCCTTCGATTCCTGGGAGTCAAGGGCAACATGCGCCTGGGCCCCACTGCCTTTCGCATGTTTATCAGGTACAGATTAACTTAATCTCACTGAATTAAACTAAATTATCGCAATGAAAGAGAGTAACGGTAACATTGTTACTAGTAAAAGGAAGCAAGTAATGACAATTCAATTTCTTTATGTACATATGTATGTATATACACCTATATTTGTATATATGCATATATGTATGTGTATGTATGTTCAGCCCTACTCTGTGTGTATATAAATACATATGTAGGTATATATGTATGTTTATATATTATATATGTACACATATATATTTATATTTTCATAAATATTGATATATATATTGTTAGGCATAATAAATGTACTGGGTTCTATTTGCATTATGTTTTTTCTGCTGTATCACTGTACGTAGACTCAACACTCGTTAGCCTAACGAGTGACTCCACTACTGTCGTGGTGAAATGTTCAGGGCTAATGACTGGTGTAGATTCAGGAGAATTTCTCCACTGTCTTTAGGACGTGTAAACTCAGCAGCAGTTACTTCACCATGGCTTCAGTGGACATCCTGTACATCGACATTACACGCCGCTGGTCAGGGATGACGCCTGACTCCAGAGAAGCAGGTAACACACGCGTGTGCACGCACACACACACACACAGCCCCACACAGAGAATCACAAGGATGACCTTCATACAGAAACGTGCGGAGGACACAAAGCAGAGAATCCTGGAGAAAATAAGGACGTGTCATTCTCTGCTGTTTCCTTTCGACATTGACTCCTGATGTTGAAATGAGCTGAGATCACAACATGACAGCAAAGACATGAATTATTCAGAGGCTGCATGTTGAGAAGAGGGGATGGATGGATGGATGGATGGATGGATGGATGGACAGACCAAGATGTGTTGAATTCAGGATGAGTTTTTCTTTGACCGAAAACATTCCAGAAATGTTTAGAGTTCAGCTTCAACACAAGACATCGTTTTTCACAATATTCCTCTTTGACCTTCACTCCACTCACTTCTCCCGGAGAATAAAAACTATTAAATTCTCTCCGACATCTCTTTTTATCCCACGTTGACAATATGCTGTTTTTTTTTCAGGGATGGGACTCCAGGCGTTTGTCAAAGCCTTTTTCCACCTGGCAGCTCGCCGGTTTAAGTCCCTGGTGCTGAAGGAGCAGGTAGTGTCACTGCTGGCTCTGTGCGAGGCTCAGCTGGAATCTCAGTCTGCCGTTGAAGACAGACGCTCGGTGAGCTGCAGCAGAGCTCTTCCTCGCACGGTAAAGACGCAGACGCTGGGCCTCACCAACACTCAGCTCGGCTCCCCCGCTCCCCTTCGACGTGCTTCCAGTCAGGAATACCGTCTGCATCACAAACTCAAGCCACGCTCGCTCAGGGCCAACGTGGAGAACTGATGAGACTCAGCTCATCATCAAACTCTCTCTCATACACACACACACACACACACACTGCCTTTGGCCTTCTAAATGGGAGCAGGAAAATTAGGTGTCCATCCCATGTCAGCCGCTCCCTCAAGGGTGAAATGATGGGAGCTGAGAAAACAGCTCACGTGGCCCCTGCTGGCTGATGTTCAGAACTCTTTCAAAGCCTGATTGCTTTTTTTTCTCCAGAGGAACTTGTCTGCAGGAGTTGTTGTTGCTTTGGGAGCAGAGGGATGAGAGTAAGACGTTGGTCATAGACGAGCAGTGCGGTCAAGTCAGGACGATGATGTGGCTGCTCTACACCACCTCAGCCGTTCTACAGGGCAGCTATCAGCTTCACCTTTGTGTGACTCTAGGACAGGTAGGATTGACCTCACATTCTCACTGTTCTACAGTTACACTGGTTGGCCTCAGTTAGTGTGAGTTGTTTTATTTCTCATGTGAACATTTACGCAAACCATTATATTTGCACTGAAACAGATGTGATTGTGACCGAGTATATGTGTGGGAGTAGTGTGTGTGTGTGTGTGTGTTAGGCTGTATTTATTTGTGTAAAAGCCATTTTATAGCCAAGAGCTCAGCTGTGAATCTCAACTCCATGAGCCCATTAGGGATGACTTAAGTAAATAAGTATTTAGAGGGAAAAAAAGGCCGATGTCACCACTTATCCTCTTCAGGCTGTGCAGATAAGATCCCTACAGGGTGACAACCTTGTCCTCACACAGCTATATAAATGTATGTATGTACAAATATATATACATAATTAAATATGTATCTATGTATGTGTATACATATATTTATATATATTTGTATATATATGTATGTACAGATGTATATACACACACATACTGAAATATTCATTGCATTATGAAAACTAATCCAATATGTGAGGAATGAAGTCACTGCAAAAAATAAAACTCTGCTGTTTAAGCCAAAGCCACTGGTGGTGATGTGGATTTTTTGTTTTCTTTTTTTTTTTAATTTTTTTGATAGAAAGTTTTTTAAGCACAATGAAGCAAGGTTAAAATTCAGAGCAGAAGAAACGAAGCCTGCTGTGCTACTGCAAACGTTGCGTGATTTCTCCTCTGATGAATTGGAAAAGTTTTGTCATTAAATTATGGAGATTGATGTAATGTCAGTGTCAGGTAGATTCTGGATGTGTACACTAGTGTATAACTTGAAGCAGTACCACCGTAAATCGTGGGGGCAGTGTTGTGCAGTATTGTGTAAGAATCTAACGTTGTACCGTTAGATACTGTTTGTCTAGTTGTTGTTTATGTCGCGTGTGGGGGCAGTGACATTTTAGCGACAGATTTGGTTTTAGGCTTTAATCTAATACTAAATCCTGGTCTAATCACCCGTTGACTCAGTGTGCACCTGCGGAATAGTAATATTTTCCAAACCATGTCCACACAAATACACGTACACACACACACTTGTCAAAAAAGGACACAGAAGGACAAGAGTATAAAATAGCTAAATAAAACTTTAATAGGTCTAGTTGCGAATGTACATAAATTGCACAGCCACATTTTTTTAACACAAATTTCTCTGTACATTATTGTTTTTGTCACTGTTGTTAAAGGAAGCGGAAACCAGCAAATACTTTATACTTTGAACATACTTACAAAAGTACTTTCTACAAGATAATAGAAAACATACAACATCTCTTACTTTATTTATAGCTTTATACTTTTGATAGATATTTGTAGCTGTAACTTTTTGACTCGTGACACAAAACTCAGACAGAAAAATAAACAGGATTGATGAGAAGTCGGGTCACGACCAAACCTGAATCTGATGTGGTTTTAGTGTGACTTCGTTTTTTTTTTTTTTGTACACCGCAGTTTAAAGCAAGGCTTTTACTCATTCCTATTGCTACAACAAACTGCTTTATTGTAACAGT